AGTGACTGGGATAATCGGGATGGGAGTGTCAGAGACAGTGCGATTGGCACAGGACAGAGCAGAGTTTAGGGCTGTTGTACATAGGGTCACAATGAGTAACAAGCGACTCGACAGTGCATAACAACAACAACAACATTGTGCTGCTGTAAGTATTGATGGAAGTCCAGATTCTGAGTATTATTCAAAAGATTGCATTTCTATGATGTAACTGATACTCAATTTTGCCTTGCCAGTGTTGGGGCATATCAAGCAAGAAGGGAAGAGGGGAAAAATAAAAATAAAAAAAGAAGAGAAGGGAGTGCTTAAATGTGAAGTAAACAGAATGCTTGCTTTCAATATGATTTAGCCTCGGACCACTGAGAAAGAATGCCTAAATTATTTCATTCCGATAAATTTAGTCCAGAGCCTGTGACTGATGTAATTGGCCTTTTTTGTTTGTTTGTTTTTCAGTGAGGTACTGGCTGAGGAGTCCATAGTATGTCTCCAGAAAGCCCTGAATCACCTTCGGAAAATATGGGAATTAATTGGGATTCCAGAGGACCAGCGGTTAGAGAGAACTGAGGTTGTAAAGAAGCATATCAAAGTGAGTCATAAAAGTATAAAAGTACAGTCAAGTAAGATGCCACAGTGGGGTGGGATAGGGATAACGAGGTTGATGACACATATGGAAGCGACATTTTGACCTCCATGACTAGAAATACAGCAGGCCATTATTCTTTGTGTGATGACTATTCATGAAATTACAGGAGTTTGAGGGTTACTGGTTGCTTTTCTCCCCTCGACTCTAAATTTTTGTGCATCTCTGCTCACTTTCTGTTGTTAGGAACTCCTGGATATGATGATTGCTGAAGAGGAAAGGCTGAAGGAAAGGCTCATGAAAAGCATTTCTGTCTGTCAAAAGGAGCTCAGTACCTTGTGCAGCGAGTTACATGTTGAGCCAATTCAGGTATATCTGGCGGCTTACCAGTGCTCTCAGGTCTGCTGTCACCCACTGTGAACAGGGAAGGGGGACTCTGCGTGGATTAGGAAGGCACTTGATTAAATGCTAAGATCCAGACCAGATGGGCGGTCTCCATGTAGGAGGAAGAGGAAAGGTTTGCCTCTTAGTAAATGAATTCTGACAAAGAAATTTTCACATACGTAAAGATCACCACTATTGAGCAGCAGAGCTGCTAGTAAGTGTTCTGATGCTTTAATAAAAAATCAGCTTCATCTTGCTTTAATGGGTTTAGTTTTATAGGGCTTTTTTCCCCCTCCCCTTGTGGATGCTGAGGAGAAGCTGGGAACAGTTGGTGCCTTCCCCCACCCCTAAAAGAAAATGAAAAGAGATACTCAAGAAGGAGAAATAACCAGTGCTAAGATGGAAGGGTACCCCAAAAGCCTGCCTTTTCAGGCCCTGTGTTACCTAGAGGCTGTACCCAGATAATGGCATGCATTAAAGCAACCACAGTGGCTGCTTCAGAAGAAATGTTTCAAAAGCTGCAGTGTCAAAAGACATAGTCTAATTCAGCCTATGATGATTTTTTTCCTCTTTCTTTGTAATGATTATTTTTGTGAAGAGCTGAGAACATGTTGTATTGTGACCCAGGGTCCCTAAAACCTCTCCCTTTAAAATGAGTAAAAGCACTATCAGGATCCTAAAATTCAGACAATGTGAGCTTGGAAAGTTGTTTAGAATAGATGTGAGTATAGGGGCAGCACAGGATGGCTAAGGTAACACCAGTAAGGTTCTTGGGGCCCCTCCACCCAACATTGGAAGAAATGCCTGGGTACCTAGATAGAGTGAGCTGTAGGAGGGAAACCACCACAAGAAGAGTAATTCACAGGCGGCAGTCACGAGAAGTCAGGCGCACCATGGTGTCAGAGTATCCTGGGCCATGCTAGAAAGAACATAGAATTGGTTTTAGATCCAGGTTTCTCATTCTCTAGTCGTCTGTTTGTTAATTTCCAACATGAAATTGGGTTAAAAGTGTACAGTGGTACATCTCTCTTAAATTACATCCAAGTTTCTAGTTTTACCAGTGTTGAATAAAAAAAGTATAAACTTTAAATGATACCCAACTATCATGTCTGTTTTCTCCCATTCGTCATTCTGGTCCTAAATGGGTTAGTAAGCTGAGTATTTAACTAGAAGCTAGATAGACCACCTTCTTGCTAGCCCAGAACGAACTTTGCAACTACTTTTCATCGCCATAAACTTCCCTGCGACTCAGAACCTTTGCTTATTGAAGACCTTTTTTTAGGGTACCCTTTCTGGCCATTGACTATCATATTTGTAATTTCTTTTGGTCTTTGACCATCTTATTCAGTGGAAAGCCTTCATTTTGGCCCTCTTCCATTGCCATTCTCTTCGAAATAGTTTCATTGGGAGCATTGTTTGTTGGTGTTGGTACTGTTATGTGCTGTGAAGTCGCCTGTGACCCATAGCGACACTGTGTACAGCAGCTCTGAACCCTACTCTGTCCTGAGCCAGTCTCACTAATTCCAACATAACAATCTCCATTGCCCCCGTCACTGTATAAATCCATTTCATCTAGGGTCTTCCTCTCCTGCGCTGTCCGTCCACCCTTCCAAGCATGAATTCCTTCTCCAAGGCATATCATTTTATACAGGAAGAAGGAGAGACAACCATCTTGCAACTAGAGAAGGATTTACGCACTCAGGTGGAATTGATGCGGAAACAGAAAAAGGAAAGAAAACAGGAACTGAAGTTACTTCAAGAACAAGATCAGGAACTGTGTGAAATTCTTTGCATACCTCCCTATAACATTGACAGCTCCTCAGTTCCCAGCTTGGAAGAGCTGAACCAGTTCAGACAACACTTGGCAACTCTGAGGGAGACAAAGGTATGTAGCCTGCATTCATACCTCCTAAAAAGGTGGTGGCTTTTCTCTTGGAATCTTAGAATTTTCTTGTCTTATAGACATCAAGACATGGAGAGTTTGTCAACATAAAGAGAAAGATCATACTGTGTATGGAAGAATTGGATCACACCCCAAACACAAGCTTTGAAAAAGATGTGGTGTGTGAGGATGAAGAGGCCTTTTGCTTATCTTTAGAGAACATTGAAGCATTACAACAGTTACTACAGCAGGTAATAATGTCTTGACTGACATCTTCATAACCCATAGCTATTTGGAAAAACAGGCAGGTTTTTTCTTTTATGTTTTAAAGAAAATGTAAGTTTCTAAAACAAGGGAGGCTAAAAGTAGTGGTATGTAGTATCTACAAATACTGATTTTGAACACAAAAATTTATAGCTCAAAGTTTTAAATTTGGATGAAAAATATTAGTCATATAAATTAGCCATGTATTTGAATCCTCCTCTTAGAATCTTTACTATAAGAATAGCTTTAGGGTTTATTTGGAGGTCATGAAAACACAGTGTTTTGCACTCAGAAAGGTATATTCTTTCCACTTGGGTCCAGACTGAAGCCTCTTCTGTGATGAACCCTGCTGTGGGTAACCCTTGACGGTCTCTCTTGTAGCTGGAATTGCAGAAATCGCAGAATGAAGCTGTGTGTGAGGAACTGCGGGGTCAGATCCGAGAGCTGTGGGAGCGGCTGCAGATACCTCCAGAGGAGAGAGAAGCAGTGGCCACAATTATGACTGGGTCAAAGGCCAAGGTCAAGAAAGCGGTGAGAAACCCAATAGTTACTGAGGCAGTATTCTCCTAAGAGTGTTGTTTTAGTATCAAGTATGGGAGGTTTAACAGCTTCTGCCTTGAACATACCTGTTCTTAAGAATCTGAAAAGATGCCAATTGTCTGCCAGTAGCCTGCTCACCTTTCTTTTGTGTCCATTCCTGAGATTTCTGACCCTTACAACGTCATTGTCATCACTTAGAGTGTTAACTTACTTCAGTGGCTCCATGTTCTAGTCGGGTGGGGAGCTTTTGCATTATTAAGGTGAATATGAGCATTTAACAAGCACCTTTAACAAGTGTTTTCCTTTTAGTTGCAATTAGAAGTGGATCGGTTGGAAGAATTGAAGTTACAAAACATGAAGAAAGTGATTGAGGCAATCCGAGTGGAGCTGGCTCAGTACTGGGACCTGTGTTTTTACAGTCAGGAGCAGAGACAAGCTTTTGCTCCTTATTATGCTGGTTAGTACACAAGGGGTAGTCTGCATGTGATCACTCACTTTTTTAAAATTTTTTTTTCTTCTGTGTGTGTACCGTCAAATCGGATCTGACTGGTACAGGAAGAAATTGCCCCTCCTTCTCCAGCAGAGCATCTGGTGGAGTTGAACTGTATATCCCTGGGATTGTAGTGCAGCTTCTTGCCATTTAATTTCTTTTAAATGCTAAAATATTCACCAAGGAATCTTTTCTCTTCTGAACAGGCACTCCGGCAAGCATTTGCAACCACTAGTGGGCAGAATAGGCTATCTTGCTTTCCAAAGCAAAATCTTACTCTCGCCTGTTAGGTATAAAGCTCGTTTATCATGTGCTTACTCTACACCAGGTGTAATGTCAAACTCTTGTCAGTATTATTTATAAATATTCTTAATGTTAAGAAAGAAGGATCCTAAGACAAATAAGAGGTGAGCAGCTGAACCCAGAAGCACATGGAGGATGAGCAGCCTTCCCCACATTTGAATCCTGGAGTCGGACTCCTAGAACCTAGTAGAATTTTCACTGCAGAAGTTTGCCCAGCTGTCTCCCTTGGAACCATTTGTGGATTTGGACAACTAGAGAAGTGTGACCTTTGGGTCAGTGCAGTTGCCACCAGAGCTCCTAGAATAGGATTCTAATCTGACCTAAGTTGAGCACTTAGAAGAGGCTGTCTTAACTAAATTTTCAACAAATGTTTGTAGATTTTTTTTATTATTATTATTAATTTCAGTGAACATCTACAGAGATTTTGGAATTCCATTCTTTTCATTGTTGCACTTTGTTTGTAGATATTTTTTGTGGTCTAACCCTCCTCCGGCTGGACAGAGTAGAAAAGAATAGGAAAGAAACCTAAGGCCAGGCAAGAGGTCACACACGATTTTAAGGATGGCTATCGTCATAGGCTGTAACCTAGTCTCTTGTCCTCGGTCCTTCAGGGTTAATATAATCCACTTTCTTTTTTCCATGACTTTATATTCACTAAAAGCATGCAGTAATAGATCATTTTACTCTAAGTACAGCCAAAGGCTGAGAAATTGAGAGCACCCTCAGTCACTCTCACCTAGTGTTGGCATTTTTGTAAGTTTTGTTCAGCATTCTCTCTCCTGTTGGAGCGTGTATATTTATTTAATGGAGGAAGCCTAAAGGGATATTTGCTCAGTGGGTTTGTGAAATATTCCAGATACAGCCCTTGCTAAGTATCAGGGGTCTGTGATATATTTGTGCTGTGAGAAGACAGGAAGAGAATAAATCAAGATTTGTCCTTTGGGAACCTTAGCAAACATTTACCAGGCACCTGTTATGCACTGTGTGCAGTTTATATGTGGTATATATTAATTATTTAGTCCGCACAGCAATGCTATACTATAGGTACTGTTATTGCATGTTTCTTTCTCCATTTCATAGATGGCAGAATTGAAGCATAGATGGTTAAGTAATTGGCTCAAGATTCCACTGCTACTAAATGGGAAAGTAAGAATTAAACCCAACGTAAATTATGCTGTATGGCTTTTCCAAGTGGCTCTGGTTGGGTCCACAATATAGTAAATAAGGCATACTGTTCAAAGTGAGTCATAGTAAGAATAAATAGCATATGATTACCAGGGAACATGAATTTTTACCTTATGGGATGCAATTTCTAGAAATGATATTAAGACCTTAGGTCTCCTGTGATTATGTAAAATTGTGTCTTTATATGCAAATGCACTCATGTTATTGTTGTTATTCCAGCGCTATAGCTACTAGTGCATTCCCACATAAACACCAGGGGCCAGAAGCCACTATTAGAATAACAAGATAGTAGAAAAATTAGAGTTGCTGTGCCTTTTAGCTAGCTTTCTCTACCTTGTGACTGAAAGCAGGAAATTAGTATTGATTAAAATACTGTTAAATAATCTATAAGCTTATTCATATTTTACTAGTTTGATACCAGTGCCCTTTTTCTCGTCCAGAATCTAATCTAGGATCCCAGGTTGTATTTAGTAGTTGTGTGACTCTCCTCCAATCTGATCATTGCCAGGGAGCTCTGGTAGCCTAGTGGCAAGAATCTGCACTGCAATCCCAGAGGTGTGTAGTTTGAATCCACCAGATTCTCTGCTGGAGAAGGAGGGACAATCTCCTGTACCACTCAGATCCGATTTGACAGTACACATACAAAAACTATTAAAAAAAAATCTGATTGCCAAGGTCTTTGTTTTGCTACATGACCTTGACACTTTTGAAGAGAACTGAGCAGTTGTTTTGTAGATTATCCTTCAATTTGGATTTTTGTGATGTTTTCTTTCACATGATGTGTTGAGTTTATTTTCTTACAGTTACCGTAGAAGTGATTTTCACTTTATTACCATCAAAGTGATAGCGTGCCCCTCTCAGCACATTATGTCAGAGGGCACATGAAGCTGACATGTCTTATTCTAGTGTTGTTGACTTTTACTACTTGACTAAGGCTATATCCTCTAGGTTTCTTTATTGATTTTCCTTCTACAATTAATAAGTATCATGTGAGAAGCTACTCTGACGTAGCTCAGTATGCAGATTCTCATCAGATGTTGTACATTAATTTTCTCGTCCATTTCGTTCATGTGTGCAAGTTGTTTTTAGTGTTTGCCGCATGGTGTTTCTATTTCTCTCATTTCTTTTTTTATTTAAATTATTGTTAAATTTTATTAGTTTTAATGAACATTTACAGAGATTTTGGGTTCTCATTCATTCATTGTTGCACTGTTTTCTCTACCCTCCTCCCCAGTTCGTTCTTCTTCCCCCCCCCCCGAATGTCTGTTTTAATTGTCCAATTGCCACAGTGCTTGTCAAAGCCAGTTCTGATTAATCTCCTTTGTCAGTGTGTCCTTTGCCATTCCCTATCACTCCTCCCTAAGAGAGACTTCACCCTGATTCATAAGGAAAAGGGGATGGCGTATTCTCTTAGCTACTTCCTGCTGAAAAGGGACGCTGTGGGTTTCAGGGTGAAGGTCTTCTCTCACTACTTTAAAGGGCCCCTTTGGCAGTAGGAAACACATAGACTATTATGGAGATTGATTTTGGAATTTAGATGCACTGCTATCAATTGTGCTTAGCCGTACATGTTCATATCCTTGAAGATGTATCATGGAGGTGTTGCAACCGGCCTTTCTCCTGCCAGGTTAGTTCCACAACAGCTTGGCTGATAGCTCCGGGTGATGGCTGGATCCGCGGTGGTGCCCTGAAGTCACAGGGCTGTGGTGGGGGCTGAGGTGCGTGGTTGTGGAGCTGCAAGGGGTTGGGGGAAGGGGAAGAAAGCAAGGGACTAGGGGGGTAAGGAGCACAGGGCTTGGAGACTATCACCAAGTGGGGGCGGGGCTTGGGCGCTGCTGGGGGTTTATGCAGCAGCACCCTGTGTGTTGGGGGTCACACAGGTCCGGGCTGCAGGGGGGTCACACAGTGTCGGGTAGTCTTCGCTCTTCTGGGGTCTCACGGTCTTTGCTCCTCTGGGGTTCCGCGGTGGGTGGCTGACTGACTGTTGCTCTTCCCGGGTCGCTTCCCAGCCCGTCTGGCTTATCTCCTGTTGTTTGTTGTTGTTAAGTGCCGTGGAGTCGCAGGCGACTCATAGCGACCCTGTGAAGGAGAGTCCTTGACATTTGGGTGCCTTTCATCCTCTCTCCAGGTTCATAGGGTTTCCGGAGGCAAGATATTATGGAAGTGGATGCCACTCCTCCTTCCACGCTTGTTTAATTGGGGAGCTCCACCCCACTCTCAGCCCGCATTGGGTAGCCAACCATTAACGCATTTGACACATAATTATTTTATATCTATAGGTCGTAATCCAATAAATACTGTCATTATTTTATTGCTCAAATCATTCTCCCAGCTTTGCCATTTGGACACTCAGTCACATTGGCTCGCTCCTGTGTCCTTTCTGCGTGTGCTCGTTATCAAGCACTTCTGTACTTTCTGGATTTATAAAATGTTGCAAGTTTGCGTGCGCTCCTTATCAAGCACTTCTGTATTTTCTGGATTTATAAAATGTTGCAAGTTCACCCTGTATTTTCCCTGCCCCAGCCCTGGAATCAACTGTTTCTTCTCTAAGGAGTCTTTATTCCTTTTCTTGAACAGTGATACTTAAACTTAATGATCTGAGTGCCTGGTAGACTCATTGCGACTCTGATGTCACTGCTTCTGGACTCTCAGCCAATAGAGCTAGGAAGTATCTAGCTACCCTAGCGCCTGTGCACACCAGTCTATATTTCTGTAGTTGTCTGTCTGCATCACTTTTGTTGTTGTTGTTGTTTTTTAATTAGTTTCAATGAACATTTACAGAGATTTTGGATTTCCATTCATTCATTGTTGTACTTTTCTCCCCATCCACCCCCACTTCCCACCCCCGTCTGCATCATTCTTGATGCCTTCTTTTCCAGTTCAGTTCATCACCATGCTCTTCATGGTAGCCTTTTTGCTCTTCTGATGATGTGAAACCGGGCTCCCATTATCCACTGTATATAATTATGCATCGTTTTGATTGTCAGGAGGAATAACTGTTTTTGGAAGGCGTTCATAAATTAGGATGTTAGGCACTAGAGGAATTGTTTTAAATGATTGGGCTTCTATCTTGCAGATGACTACACAGAAAAACTGCTCCAGCTCCATGACGTGGAGATTGTGCGGTTAAGAAACTACTATGAAGTCCACAAGGAACTCTTTGAAGGTGTTCACAAGTGGGAAGAAAGCTGGAAGCTCTTTCTGGAGTTCGAGGTACGGCCCTCGTTTTTCTTTTTTGGAGTAAAATGAAGTATAAAGAAAGCATGCCATGGGCAGAACCAGAGTTCTGTTTCACTTACTTTATCAGATTTCCAAAACCTGACTTGATCTGTGAGTTTCTCTAAAATCCACTAAATACATATATGTATTTGTTAAGTTTATATGCTTTGAAAGAAAAATGGGGGTGGGGACGATAATGACTTAGTTACATAATTAAACAAAATAAGAGGTTTTGCATAGAGACGTTGACAGGCAGTTAGTCCTTGAGCCCTGGAGTGCTTGCCTTCTCCTCTCCTGCCACAGAACACACAGCCATGGAGGACAGGTATGGCAGGGCTGTGCGGTCAGATGTAAGATCTCAGGTTTCTGCAGCACCATGAGTGGTGGACCTCATCATTTTATCAGTGCTGGGTGAGCCCTGCAGGCACTGTGATGGTGCTGCATTTCCCCTTGAAGGATTCTTTCCAGGGCCTCTTCCCAGCCCTTCTGTTTTCGTGTTATACCAGCTGCTGCAAAGTCAGGGAGAATGTTGCCTTAGATTAATTTTGTTCTGTTACTAAACAAATAGAGAAAGTGGATTTTAAGGTAGGCAACTACCAGTCTCTACCCTTGAGGCACAATTGGATACTCTGGATTGCTTTTTCTTCTGATGGAGATTGAGCATAAACAGATTCTCTCATGAAACATTTGACAGACCAGGGCTGGGACTAAGAGTGAGGCAATCAAGACCTCCTAGTGCTCAAAATGAGGAAGTCCTTATTCTTGGAGTTATAGCAGCCCTATTAGCTTGAAGAGGCCTTCAGAGCATCAGTAGGTCAACTCCTTTCAGTTTGTTGGTGGGGAAGTGGATGAGATGGAAATTTTTTGTTATTTAAGAACTGGTATTTTAATCCTGTTTTTCCTTCCCTTCAGTTGAAAGCAAATAGTTGTAGCAAACATTAGTAAAAGGGCAAATCAATAACTCATCATCTGTGCCCAGATTGAAGAGCAAGAAATTAACTGCCAGCTATTTTAGCTCTTACTTTGTAAGAAGTCAAGAAGCAACCAATGTTTAATGGGACTAAAACTACTTTACATGTTTGTCCTATATGTTCTTGAGCTTATCTCTAAAGTTTCCTGGTTAGTTACCCCTACTTTTGAGCATATACAACTAATTTTTATTTACAAATTATATACTTTCTTGTATTACAGTTCTAAGGACTCTGAATATTATTTTAAAAACAACTCCAGAAAATATTTTTTTAAGAAAACACATTTAATATCTTACATTTTAAAAAAGCTATTTATGTAATATCTAATGTCAAATGGATCTTTGCTGAAAGCAGAGAGTACCAGAAGAATGTCTATCTGTGTTTCATTGATTATGCAAAGGCATTTGACTATATGAATGACAGCAAACTGGCTGACTCTGAGAAGACTGGGAATCCTAGAACATTTGATTGTGCTTATACGAAAATCCTAGAACATTTGATTGTGCTTATACGAAACCTATGCTTTGACCAGGAGGCAAAGAACAGAGAAAGGAAACACTGCATGATTCAAAATTGGGAAGGATGTGGACCAAGGATGTGTCCTGTCTCCTTTTCTTTTCAACCTATATGCGGAACAGATTATCTGGGAGACTGGACTCTATGAAGAGAAGTGTGGCATCAGGATTGGATCAACAATCTGCATTATGCAGATGACATAATCCTGCTTGCTGAAACTGAAAAGGACCTGAAGTGCTTGCTACAGAAGGTCAAGGACTGCAGCCTTCAATGTGGATTGAAGCTCAATGTCAAAAAAACAAATATTCTCACCACTGGAATGTTTGGCAGCATCATAATAATGAAGAGATTGAGATTGTTGACAGCTTCAGTTCAACACTCTTGGTACCAGCAGCCAGGAAATTAAAAGATAAATTGCATTGGGAAAGTCTGCTGTCAGAGACCTCTCCAAAGTACTGAAGAGCAACAATGTCAGTCTGGAGACTAAGGTGTGCCTGATACAGGCCATGGTCTTTGCAGTTACTTGCTATACATCAGAGAGCTGGACAAGAGTAGGAGCCCTGGTGTTGAAGAGTATTGAATATACCATGGACTGTTAGGAGAACAAACAAGTTCATCCTGGAGAGGGTGAAGGCAGGCTGCTCCTTGGAGGCAAGCATTCTGAAGCTCTGTCTGACATACTTTGGACATGTTGCAAGGAGGGACAGTCCTTGGAGAGGGACTTGGGAGGGTGGAGGGACAGTGTAGGAGAGGAAGACCCTCGAGGAGATGGACTGATTCTGTCACTGGGGTAATGGGCATAGGTGTGTCAGAGACAATTGGCACAGGACAGAGCAGGGTTTAGGGCTGTTGTACATAGGGTTGCTATGAGTCGCAGGTGACTTGACAGCACATAACAACAACAACATTTATGTAATAGAGTAGAACTCCACAAGCTTTCTAGAACATAATCCTTGGGGAAGACATTTAAACTGCTTTAAATGTCTGTGATCAGGCAAGTAAAGGTGCTCCCAGCAGGCCTCTTGTATACCTGTCATCCTCAAGGTGACCTAGAACCTTCTGGCATCCAGCCCAAGGAATGGAGTTGGTACAGTATGCATTAAGTATTAATGCCTGCTTGCACACCCATGTTTATTGCTGCTTTGTTCACAATAGCAAAGAGTTGGAAACAACCCAAGTGCCCATCAACAAACAAATGGATTGAGAAATTGTGGTATATTCACACAATGGAATATTATGCAGTACTGAAAAACAAAGAACTCATGCAATATTATATAAAATGGGTGACCCTGGAGGACATTATGCTGAGTGAAGTATCTCAGTCACAAAAAGATGAATACTTCATAGTGCCACTGCTATAAAACAGGACTGACATGGGGTTGAGGGAAACTAAGAAAAGAAGGGATAAATAATGTACACAGCATTGAAACAGATGAGAAATAGAACTGTGTAAAAGGAATATATAATTAGGTATTGCAGGACAAGAGAACAGAATAAGAGCTGCATAGTAAAGTGGTCCAGTGGTGGTGGAACTGTGTAACAATGAAAGAACTTTTCTTCCAAAGAAAAAAGTGAACTGGGGCGGGGCAGGGAGGAAAATGTGCAACAAAATGAATGGAAATCCAAGTTCTTTATAAACTTTCATTAAAATCTCAATTAAAAAAAAAAGTATTAATGCCTATCTTAAGTTCAAAAGGAAACAGTAGGTTTCCCGCCCCTAGCGGGTGATTTTTCATTTTGCTCGATGAAGTAAAGCATTAATTGTCTTACACCTGACCTGCTCCCCTACTTGAGGATGTGAATTTCTCATTACTGTGTGTAGAAGGGAATGTAAAACTTTTTAAAAGTCTCCTAAATTGCCTTTATTCTCTTGTAAGAGCCAGAATCCTAACAAAAGTGATTGGTCTGACTTTTCTAGGGTTTCGTCTAATGAAATATGTTTTTCTTAGAGAAAAGCTTCAGACCCAAGCCGATTTACAAACCGTGGAGGAAATCTTCTGAAAGAAGAAAAGCAACGTGCCAAACTCCAGAAAACACTCCCTAAGGTAGGGATATTGTACGTTTTGGTGTTTGGCTGTATGATCACTTTTTGTATGTTGTTGTCAGTGTTTCAAGTTGGAACCGGTTCATAGCTGACTCTCAACAAAGGTTTCAGAGCCAGTAAATCTCACGCGAGGAGAGTGCCCACCTTTCTGCAGCAGCTGGTGGGCTTGAAACCTGGAGCCTGGCAACACGACTCCCTACCACTGAGTCACCCCAGCTTATACTCTTTGCTTAGATTTGCTTTTGTTTTGCCCCAAAACTTTTGTCTTCCAGAGATTAAACTGGAATTATAGCTATGTATTAGGCTTTCCTAGTATAGAATAAACTGAATATCATGATAGCAGACTTGAAAAAGTGCTATGAACTTCTGTGCTATTCTCTGTTTTAAAACTGATAAGAGCATTTAGGGAGTTCTGGTGACCTAGTGGATAAGAGCTTGTGTTGCCAACCCAAAGGCAGCCAGTGCAAATCCACCGCTGCTCCTCAGGAGAGAAATGGGCATTCTCCTTTCAAGTGATTCACACCCTCTGAAATGCCTCTGGAGGATCAGCTCCGACTCGCTTCAGGCTCGGCTGCACACGATAGCAGTAGCCTGTACTGTGCCAAGTGCTGCTGGTTTAAAGTGCTTTTTCAATATTTATGAATTCTCACAATTCTGATTCCTTTAGGATTGGTATTATTTCCATTTTTACAGATGAGAAAACTGAGGCACCAAGAAATTAAGTAACTGTCTAACTTTTCACAGCCAATAACAAATAGGTTCCATATTAGAACCCAAATGGTTGGACTTAATAGCCTGTCTTTTTAATGTGTACTGTGTAGTGTCCTCTTCACTGCTGCTGCCCCCTGCTATAAACACCTCTGTAGCTGGACTCTTACGGTGTCACGTTTCCCATCTTTGTGTGTGTTTTGAATGCACCCTCCTTAGGCATTGTCTTCTGCCCGCTCTTCCCTATGTCTCTTAAATTCAGCTTTTGGAAGTTAGGTTAATGATGCTTTAGGAAGAAGGGAGTAATTCTTTAGGAGAATCATTTCATTTGGGCTTCACACCAGAGGTCTGAAGTGTCATTAATTATATCTTTGTTTCTGATCTCAGCTGGAAGAGGAGTTGAAGGCACAGATTGAAATGTGGGAGAAGGAGCATTCCCAGGCATTTGTGGTGAATGGACAGAAATTCATGGAGTATGTGGCAGAACAGTGGGAGTCACATCGGCTGGAGAAAGAGAAAGCCAAGCAGGAACGAGTAAGTGTGAGCACATGTTAGGAAGAAGGGAAGGGAGTGCTGTGAGAGCCTGGAGCATCTGCCAGGGGACAAGATGAGGTGAAACACAGGTAGATTTTTCTGCCCTGAATACAGTGACTTAACCCTAGGTTCTGGCTTTGCCTCTGTGCTTACCCTACACCTGCTCTTCCTGGGATTTATCACTGTTGCATTGAACTTTCACACAGCATCTAAAGAACAAGAAGCAGACGGAGACGGAGATGCTGTACGGCAGCGCTCCCCGAACACCCAGTAAGCGGCGAGGACTGACACCCGGCACTCCTGGCAAGGTCCGGAAGGTAAGCAGGAGTCGTCAGCCTCTGTTCACGACGGATGCTGAGGCTAGCGTTCCTGGCTGATTCTTACCCACAGGCTTGTTGTAAGGACTTACTCTGCCAACCCAAAGGCAGTTGCTTGAGCCCCCAGCTGCTCTGCAGGAAAAAGAGGGGGAATTTTTTGTGTGACTTACAGCCTCTGAAATCGCACTGGAGGGTCAGCTGTGAGTTGGTTCTGGCTTGATGGCAGTGAGGTTTTAAAGTTTTTCTAGGATAGAAGAGATAGGAGAAGATTTTTCTGGCCTTTCAGGTTGAGACACTTGAGAGTATAAATGGAAGATTGGACCTAATCCTTTGTGGTGGCTTGATAGCAACAGCTAAGGAGTGGTCCGCCTTAATGTGTACTAGTTGTTAGGTTTTCAGATTGAACTCCATGGGACCAGTAATTGCCCAAATTCTGTGAGGGTAAAAACTCTCAGTAGCAGTAGCCCTTTACTTTTAATTCCAGCACATTAACCATCGTGCTGTGTGAAAGAAAACTTAATAAATTGCTCATACTTCTTGTGCCATGTAAGAAATCCATCCATGACTTAAAAGTCACACTGATTATTTTCCTTTATAGTATTTCCTATTCTGTCTCCTGTTTTGGGTAATTTTGTTCTTCCTATAATTTTTGGAGTTTTTCAGTGAGCCAAGTTTTTTGTTTCATTTCTTGCATTTGACATACTCTTGGATGACATCCTTGATAGGCAGTTCTTTGCTATAGTTTTTAACAACCACATAGCTGCAGCCAGATGACAAGAGTTTTCCCTCTGAGTTGTGCAGAGGCCTACTCACTCTCTCGTTTCTTGTCGTCAGCTTTTATCAGGTTTGGTACAAAGGGCCTCTAGTAACTTGACACACATAGACTCTTCACAGCTGGATGCAAATACACAAAGATGAGCATGGTGCCTGTTACTGGCTCAGACACAGACTTCACATTGTCCAATGTTGCCAGGGCACACACGGTGCACGGACCTGCTCCTATAAACATTTACGTACAAGTCTTTGTATAGATGTGTGTTTTTTGTTTTTTTTTTTTTAATTTTCTATTATTTTTTCTGTGTGTACCATCAAATCAGATCTGACTGGTATAGGAGGAGATTGTCCCTCCTTTTCCAGCAGAGTGTCTTGGGGATTTGAACCGCACGCTTCTGGGATTGCAGTGCAGCTTCTTGCCACTAGGCCACCAGAGCTCACCTAGATGTGTGTTTTTATTTCTTCTGGTTGAAATTCTTAAACATGACTGGATTGTATGATAAGATGTTTAACTTTCTATATTTTTTTAAAAAATTTTAATAATTTTTTCTTTTTCTTTCTTTTTTTTTTTTTTATGTTTGAGATACAAAATGGTTGTGCATTTTACATTTCCACCACCAGCTAGATAGAAATTGGCTCTGGAAAGTTATAATGGGTTTCCTCAGAGCTATGTGGCATTAGACACAGCAGGTTTCCAGGAAACTCATTTTTCCCGGTCAGTTTCCTGTACTTGTTTCTCTGTAGCTGGTGATGCTTTCTCCCCAGTGATCCATCTGTTCTTTTCCAGCTGAACACCACCACCATATCCAATCCTACCCCTAATAGCAGCATCCGGCCGGCCGCAGGAGGCCTCATCTGCCGTTCTCCGATGTCTCGACTCCCACCTTCTGGCAGCAAGGTTGGTATGTGTGGTGTATAAACATCCCAAGCATTGCTTATCCTAAATACACCCAAAGGCCTTGCATGCTAATTTTAATTTCTAAGATTCATGGATTTATTAATCACTGAAATGCTGAGAACTAACAGGTGTAAGCTAATTATTAAGTAATGGTTCAAAAGCTAAATGAGAGAGAAAAAGAGGACAGCAGCCGTCTGGACCTGAGTAGCACACAGGACGGGCTGTGGTGTGACTGGGACATGAAGACAACGTGCCGGTCCACAGTGCCCCTCAGACACGACCCTGGGCATGTGTGCTAACATGCATGCTTGAATATTTTACAAAATTAAAGTCATATTTTTAATACCTAAAACACCAGATTAGAGTCATAGCTGGTAGACTATTTTGAGGTATTATTTAATGTGCCCGTTATATACAGAATACATGGCTTTCTTTCCTTTCTCTGTAGCCTGGAGTCACTGCCACCTCTTCAGGGAAAAAAATGCCCCATGTGGGCTTGTGTGGAGCTGATAAGGAGAACGTGGAATTCAGTGGCAGCTTTCTGAGTGGTGGGTACCCTGACTCGACCCCCCTCCAGCGCAACTTCAGCATTAATTCTGTTGCCAGCACCTATTCTGAGTTTGCGGTAATTCCCCTTTTCTAAATATCTACCAGTCTCTGGGGAGCACACAGTTGGGGCAGGGTATAATCGTCCCAAGCACTAAGTTAGAACAACTCCCTTGGGGCTGAGAATCCCCTTCTTGCCTTGACCATGGTGGGGAGTGGTGTGGGAGGTGGCAGGCGAAGGGGAGTAGGAAAGAAGTTGCAGCAACACTAGACATTTGGCCTGGATCCTTCTGCTTAAGATACCACTCCCTGGCTGCCGGAGGTAACCCCTCTAATTGCTACCCTGGTACTCTCTTGATGGAGTTCGTGGTAATTGTCTTAATTCTTTGTTCTTAGAAGGACCCGCCCCTCTCTGACAGCTCCACTGTTGGGCTTCAGGTTTGTATGGCATCCCTGCATGTCCCATGTCCCTTTCCTAACTGGTCTGTCATCCGCTGGCTTCATTCCCATCTGGGCCAAGGGCTGCACTAACCAGTACTCACACTGCCCTTTCATACAGCTGTCCCCCTCACCAGAGTAGCAGGAGCTCCTTTTATATACTCAAGAAATAATAGCTGGAATAGAAGTTCCCAGCAAACTAACCTGATTAACAAGAACACCGTGCTCAGACATGAATTGGATTCTCAGTCCCACTAAAGTCAGGCAAAGTTTGTATCATGTTATTTCATAACAGAACCATCGCCCTCCCCAGTTGTGACATCAAAGGCTGGGATAGAGGCCTCACTGTGAGGGAAGGGAACCCTGGCTGTGTGCTGCCTGCATTGAGGTTCTTGGCCTGTGTGCTGATTTCCTGGAGTATATTAACTAACCTTTCTGGGCTGAACTGCCAGCTTTCTAATATCTGCTCATCAATGCTCATTTCCTTGCTTTTCCCTACCACATTGAGCTACTAAAAGCATGTATGAAGCTTTGGAAGAAAGGCTCGCTCCCAGTATCTTACTTTACTTAACAACACCGTATACTTAACATTCTGTGTCTTCTCTGAGCTGCTTCCCTCTCTTGTGGGATGCTAAGATAAAGCCGATCTCTCTTGGCTGCAGTGCCAAGAAGAATGAGACAGTTGCCTAAGAGTTAAGCCTGCTTTTGAGCATTGAAATGAGCCTCCTATTCAGCCACTTTTCTAAATTGCATGACTCGTGGCTGTACCTCTAGACACAGGTAGCAGGCTACCTGTCTGCTGGACAGTGGGCCACGGGCTGCTTTAGCTTGTCATGGCAGTCAGGCCCTGTTTCATCCACTTGGCTGTCCCTGCTTGTCTCTGCGGCTGTCCCTGGGAATCCTCATCTGGTTTTGGTTGCTGTGGTTGGTAGACTCTGCCAGGCAGCATAGAAGCCAGGAGAGTGATCTCTGCTCACATCTGTCTAACATCTGTGGTTAATCATGCCTTAGCTTTTGCTTCTGTACCATGTGCTCCAGCATGAGATCAAATCACCAGCAGGTTACAAGGCCCTCAGCCCCAGGGATTGGTAGATACATGGTCTGGCCTATTATTTAATAAAGGGCTCATGAGACTAAAATGTGTTTACTAGTTTGACAACTCAGAATAGCTTTGTAATGTATAAAGGATTTATCTTCTGTGAGATTTTAACAGGAAAGAGGTTAGAGATGTATGTGCACATATGCATGGTCTGTTACTAATGGAATGGTGCTCAGAATACCTCACCTTTGGTTTCTAACAGCTTGTGCTTGGCCAGGCACCTGTGTCTCAGAGAATAGCCCTCAGTGTATCCTCTGCTGACACTTAGAAGGGTTAGTTTTTGCATGACAGACAGTACTGCAACCACTGATGTTATTTATTTTTCAACAGCGAGAACTTTCAAAGGCTTCCAGATCTGATGCTACTTCTCGAATCCTCAATTCAACCAACATCCAGTCCTGAGAAGGAAGCCCTATCAGTCAGCCAGCTGTGGCTTCCTGTGCTTAGACTGGACCTAGTTATACTGTCGGGGCTTTAATTCTTCATCACTTTAGGCTCGCTTGACACCCTGGATGGATTCCATTACCTTGGGCCCAAATTAAAGAAATGAACAGACGTTACAGATGAAAAGCCCACCATAGACTTAGCAGGTCCTTAGAGACTCATTTTGTTTTTTGAGTCAAGAAATACACTCAAACTTAGTTTATAGCAGTAAGTACAAATTTTAGCATGAAACCTAGTTTCTTTCTGTAACCCCATCATATCACTTGCTGAAGCATGATCAAGGGCTTGTTTCATTTCACCATTGTATAAGAAAATGATTGCTTTGTCCATCCTTGGGGCATGGGGAACAATGTAATTCTGTCATGCCAACTTGTAATTAGCAATTAACATCTTTCTTTTTGTTTAGGGATGCTCAGTTAATGCTGTATTTGTTAGCTTTGCTCTCACCTGAGGGTCTGTCCTCACAACACAGGACACCCATCTCCTGATAAGGACGTCTATGTCAGCAGAGGTGGCCTGGCGTGCTGCCAAAGAATGATGGGGCTGGAGCACCTTTGTTAACGTGTGTACAGTGTGTTAATAAGTGCAATGCCCTTTGTGTTGGGTATGTGTATATGAATCCATGTGCTTGTCTGAACTCTATTTCTTCAGTTTCCCCCTCATTTCTTTGCCTACTCTGTCTGAATTCTTCAGTCCCTGCCAATTGTCAGCCAAGTCAGAAGGGCCATTTGGATGGGCTGGGTCTTCTCTGTCGTGGAAATCTGGAACTTTGCACATGTCAGTCCTGGGGAGTTGTTCCTGACAGAGCGTCCACGATGCAGCTTCCCCCCTCCCCTTACGTCCAGTTGATCACTACTGCTCCCCCAAAGCACTAGTATTTATTCTCATCTGCCTGCACCGGACTGCTGCCAGCACCTTCAATGGTTCTCACTAACTTGGCGGCGTGGCCTTCGTCTGTGTTAGCCATGCTGTCTAGTCATCTGTATACATGTCCTGTTTTTAAACTAGAAATACATTCTTAAAAATAAATTAAAATATGTTTGCTTAACATTTTGAAAAGATCTATTGTGGCATTCGTTTTTATTCCCTCCTAATCAACCTTTTTTCTTCTTTCATGATTGGTAGTTTATTGGTTGTTTTAAGGGCCAGTACAGAGACATTATGAACAAACTTCACAATGTTTAATGTACGTACCAAAAATTCTAAAAAGCTATGTCGTTACACTTCTTTTCTAAATTCCAGTGACTTTTCAGCTTTAAATTTGGAAAATTTTCATAAAGAAGAAAATAAGTACCAAAATATCTTCAACTGTTGATAAACTGTCACATTATTAAGTCCCACTAATTCACAGTTTACTATCACACATGTTATAACACATTCAAATTTTCAACCATTCACAGCACATAACAAAGTTATTAGAAAAACTGGACTACCAAGACCAAAGATGTTACAGAATCCACACAGTTCCAACAGGGAGAAAGCCAGGAGGAGGAAGTGGTTATATTTAAGAGGAAATTTTACCAAACAGTGTTCTTCTAATTTATGTATCTAAAAAACATGGAAAATAGACTTCATTTCAAATGATCAAGTCATAAGTGCATGACTGTGACTCCAAATTGTCATTAAGTATGCTCTGTATTGAAAACCCAAAATCCCTGTAAATGTTCATTAAAACTAATAAAATTTAATAAAAAAAATAGACTCAACAAAAAAAAAGTATGCTCTGTATTATGGGGTATAAAAACTGTCCTATTTCCCCATGGAATGTTAAACTGACATCCAAATCCCCCCACAATTTTAACATCTCATATTTTCTAGTTGTACCAAAAAATACACAACCAGCAAATGATCTCACCACTTAAAAAAAATTTATACTTAAAAATGAGATGAAGTGGGGTTTCTTCTTAAAAATTATTCTAGAGCTACTAAAAAACTTGCATTTACAAAGTAGTTGATAACAAGGGGAAGTACAGGAACCACTGATAAGACAAGGTAGACAAACGGTAATCAGACTTGGCTGCTTTCCTGCTTTATCAGAGGCTGGACTCTCCACTTTTAGTTTCTCCATTTCCCGCAGGTAAACCTTGAGTATCCTGGTTACCCACTGCAGCCTGTTTTCCCTTTGCTCCCCTTTCCCTTTAGTTTGCACTTTTTTGTCAGAAGACTTCCTTCCTGCTTCCTTTTTGGGCTTCATTTCCACTTTTGCCAGCTGTTAGCTGACAGCCTCACTGATCTCTTGGGCTCCTCCTTCACGACCCATTTGGCCCAGCTGACCTTCCTCTTGGGCATGTTGGTGGCAGGAGACTGTGGGCTGTGATGCACAGAGCCTTCGCGAAGCTGGGTTGCTCTGGCACCACCTCTCTCCACTGAGCTCCTGGGACCCACAGCAGGAGCGGTGCAAGGACCAGATACCCAAGGTCACTTTTCATTTGGTCTAACAGAAAAGACTAGAAGATGTACAAGAGATTATTAGTAGAGACTGAATGTTACATTTTTCTCTACATTTCTTAGTGAAAAATGCCTCTTACTCTTGGAGCGGTAGGGAAGAGCCTAATTGCTGGTGTAGGAAGCAGCTAAGGTAATACTAGGAAACTTGTTCTTTGCAATTTATCATGAGTAACTTTTACCAAGTTAAAATACGCTTTGATAAATTTTGACACTGTACCCAGGAAACCATCACCACAGTCAAGTCAGCAGATACACCTGTGATGCTGTTTTCTCTGCCCCTCTGTTGCCTCCTTCCACCCCCCACCCCCAAGCAGCCATTCATCTGCTGTCACAGTGTATGAGGTTGCATTCTCAAGACACCCAATGGGATCATACAGCATGTACTTTTTCTGGTTTTGTTATTTTGAAATTAATCCATATTGTTACTTGTATCCATGGTTAATTCTTTTCTGTTCCTGAGTCATTCCATTGTATGCCAGCTTATTCACCTGTCACACTGTTTCTAGTTTAGCGGTTCCAAATAATGCTTCTGTGAACATTCACATGTGAGTCTTCCTGTAGATTTTTTTTTTTACTGGCATTTCTTGATTTAATATTTTTAACTTTTTTATTTTAATGAAAGTTTACAGAGCCTTTGGATTTCCATTCATTCATTGCTGCACACTTTCCTCCCTGCCCATCCCTCCCCACAGTTCCCTTTTCTCTTAAGGAAAAAAAAAGTATCATTGTTATACAGTGCCTGCCACCGCCCCCCCATCCCCATCTATTCCTCTATGCAGCTTTCATTCTGGACTCTTGTCATGACAATTATACCTAATCATACATTCCTCCTAAACAGTTCTCCCTCATCTGTTTCAATGCAGTGTATATTATTTATCCCCTCTTAATTTTCCCCAACCCTGATGTCAGTCCCACTGTACAACAGTGGCACTATGCAGCATTTGTCCTTTTGTGACAGATATTTCACTCAGCATAATGTCCTCCAGGGTCACACATTTTGTATATTTCATGAGTTCATTGTTTTTCAATGCAGCCTAGTATTCCATTGTGTGAATATACCAGAGCTGCTCTATCCATTCGTTTGTTAATGGGAGATAATTTTTCTTTTGAGTTAGTTAGTGTCTAGGAGTAGGAAGAAGTGGCAGAGTCCATAAGGAGTTGTGCCTCATTTATTTGACATTTCATCTTGGAAGAAAGATGAGCCATCTGTTCTCATGCAACCTTTGGCTCTGGAAACAATGAAGGTCAACTGTGTGTCAGTTCTGATTCAATAGCAATGAGTTCTCTGCAAGTGAAATGGGTAGATCACATGTGTGGTGGTGGTTGTAGACAATCAAGTCAGAACCAACCCCTTAGCTTCCCTCCAGCGGGTTTTCAGAGGCAGTGAGTTGGAGGAGATTGTCCACCTTTCTTCCTTCCGAGGAGCAGCTGGTGGATTTGCCGTGTCTCTGGGCTAGCAGCACAGCGCCTTACCACTGAGCTACCAGAACTCCCTGAATGTATGGGTAGGTGCGTGTCAACTTAAGCTACTCAACTGGTTGTGCTTTCATCCCCACCAGTAATGCATGTGATTTCAGGCTGTCCACATCCTCTCCCAACACTTGGTGTGGTCTTTTTTATTTTAGCCATTCTAGAGAGTGTGTGCTTCTCTCATGCTGTGATTTTTTTTTTTTAAATTTTATTATTTTGTGTGTGTGTACCGTCAAATCAGATCTGACTGGTACAGGAGATTTTTCCTCCTCCAGCAGAGCATCTGGTGGATTCAAACCGCATACTTCTAGGATTGCAGTGCAGCTTCTTGCCACTAGGCCACCAGAGCTCGCCTTCATGCTGTGATCTTAATGAGCACTTCTTAATGTCTAGTGAGAGGAGCTCTGGTGGCATGGTCCATAGCACGATGCACTATCCAGAGGCCCCTCAGGGCCAGCGGCTGTACAGGAGAAGCACAGGCACTTCTCCCACTAAGATTCACAGCCTTGGATACCCAGTGAAGGGTGGCGATGGCAGGCATTGATTCAACGGCAATGAGGTTGAGTTAATGGCTGACGAGGAGCCCGTCTGGTGCAGTGGTTAATTGCTTGGTTGCTAACCGAAAGGACAGCAATTTGAACCCACCAGCTGGTCCACAGGAGAAAGATGTGACAAACTGCTTCCGTTTTCAGTGTGGGACACCCCACAGGGCAGCAGTCACTGAGGCAGCCTGATGGCTACGAGTTTTGGAATAGCTAATGATATCGAAAATCTCATCTATTTGCCATTTTGATCTTTGGTGATACATCCAACTTGCCTTTTAAAATCAGCCTGTGTCTTTGGTGATTTCTCTCAGTACTTTGGATAAAACCAGTGACTGTAGAGTCAATTCCAACTCAGAAAAACCCCTACCTACATCAGAGCACTCCATAGGGTTGCAGTGGCTAATTTTTTGGAAGCAGTAGCCAAGACTTAGAGTGGGCTTGAACCTCCACCCTTCTAGTCAGCAGCCTAGACTGTTAATCAACATTTTGTACTCCATAAAGAGCTCTGGTGGCCTAGCCCTTAGGAAGTTGTGCTGCTAAGCTAAAGGTGCCCAGCTCAAATCCACAAGTAGCTCTGAAGGAGAAAAACAGGTAGTCTTCTTCTAGCCAGTTTAAAGCCTCTGAAAACCCAAAAGAGGGTCAGCTGAGCCGGGTCTGACTCGATGGCAGTTGAGTTGAGTTGAACTGAGTTACTCCTTGTATCCTAAATTCAGTCCTTTATCAGCTCTAGGATGCATCAAGATATTCTTGTCTGTAGCGGTTTGGTGTCTTCTGAACAGAAATTCCAAGCCTATACTTTCTATATATTCTGTTGTACATAGGGTTTTCAACAAACAACAGAATATATAGTCCAGCAAAAAACACACATGTATATCACTTTTGATGGGTTGCAAAGATGACGCAGAGGGGAGAGTATATAAAGATCAAATAGGAACGCCTTTTAGTTAATGGTGCCAGTCAGCTGGATATCTACGTGCAAAAGTGTGAACACAGTCACACTATGTGCCACATGATACACACAATGGACATTAATATGAAGCCAGAAAGTATAGGCTTGGAATTTCTGTTCAGAAGACACCAAACCGCTACAGACAAGAATATCTTGACGCATCCTAGAGTTGATAAAGGACTGCATTTAGGATACAAGGAGTAACTCCAGGAATAGATGGTATACCAATTGACATATTTCAGTTAATAGATACTGCCCTGGACGTGCTCACCAAGTTGTGCCAAGAAATCTGGAGAACGACCACTTGGCCAACTGACTGGAAGAGATCTATATTTGTTCCTATCCCAAAGAAAGGTGACCCAACAGAATGTGGAAACTACAGAACAATCTCACTGATTTCACATGCAAGCAAGATTTTACTGAAGTTTATCAAAAAACGACTGGAACAGCACATCAACAGAGAACTACCAGAAGTCCAGGCTGGTTTCAGAAAGGGTCGTGGTACTAGAGATATTGTAGCTGATGTTAGATGGATCTTGACTGAAAGCAGGGAATACCAGAGGAATGTCTATCTGTGTTTCATTGACTATGCAAAGGCATTTGACTGTGTAGATCATAACAAACTGTGGCTGACTCTGAGAAGAATGGGAATCCCAGAACACTTGATCGTTCTAATGCGAAACTTATACTTGGACCAGAAGGCAGTCGTCAGAACAGAGCAAGGGAACACTGCATGGTTCAAAATTGGGAAGGGCGTACACCAGGGATGCATCCTATCTCCATACCTTTTCAACCTATATGCAGAACAGATTATCCTGGAGGCTGGGCTCTATGAGGAGAAATGTGGGGTCAAGATTGGTGGACAAATTATCAACAATCTGTGTTTTGTGGATGACACAACCCTGCTTGCTGAAACTGAGGAGGACCTGAAGCGCCTGCTGCAGAGTGTCAAGGACTGCAGCCTACAATATGGATTGAGGCTCAATGTCAAGAAGACAAAGATTCTCACCACTGGACCAATTGGCAGCATCAGGGTGGATGGTGAAGAGACTGAGATTGTTCACAGCTTTAGTTTGCTTGGCTCCAGAGTCAACAGTCTTGGCACCAGCAGCCAGGAAATTAAAAGGCGCATTGCCATGGGAAAGTCTGCTGTTAGGGACCTCTCCAAAGTGCTGAAGAGCAATCGTATCTCTTTGGAGACTAAGGTGCGTCTGATACAGGCCATGGTCTTCACAATCACCTGTTATGCATCAGAGAGTTGGACAATGACCAAGGAGGATAGAAGGAGAATGATGCCTTTGAGCTGTGGTGCTGGAGAAGAGTATTGAGAATACCATGGACTGCTAGGAAAACAGATTTGTCCTGGAAAGGGTTAAACCGGGTGGCTCCTTGGAGGCAAGGATTCTGAGGCTCCATCTAACATACTTTGGACATGTTGTGAGGAGAGACCGGTCCTTAGAGAGGGACATCATGCTTGGGAGGGTGGAGGGACAGCACAGGAGAGGAAGGCCCTCTATGAGGTGGATTGATTTAGTGACTGGGATAATTGGGATGGGAGTGTCAGAGACAGTGCGATTGGCACAGGACAGAGCGGAGTTTAGGGCTGTTGTACACAGGGTCGCTAAGAGTCGCAGGCAACTCGACGGCACATAACAACAACATATATTCTGTTTCATTGATCTATTTTATCTGTCCTTATGCAATTACCATATTCAATTACCATATTGTATTGGTTACTGTGGATCTATAATTTTCAAAATTGAGTGATGTTCGCTTTCCAGCTTTCTATGTTTATTTTGTGTGATGTCCAATGTACCGATTTGTCTCTTGCTAGATCACAGTGTCCACTACCAAATCCAAGGTCTGGGAGACTTAGTCCTGTGTTTTCTTCTGAGTCAGCATTTCTTCTTTGATTCAGTAGCTGTGTGTTGTTTACATTTTAAATGTGTGCATGGACCTACAGTCACAGTGACAGCCCAACCATCTCGCAAGAAACAAAGGAGTCAAACATTGGGGTAAGTCAGCATTGGCTCAGGTTGCTTCATTTTTGGAGAGGAGTGAAAAAAAGTCATAGTGATGTTGTATAAGGAGCAGTGGTAACATGGGGAAGGCTGAGTCTGACTTCCACCTGCTTGATAAAGGAGAACTGTCTCCATTAATAATAGCCATGTTGTTATGTGCCGTCGAGTTGCTTGCAACTCAGAGCGACCCTACGTACAACAGCCCTAAACCCTGCTCTACCCTGTGCCAATCTCACTGCCTCTGACACACCCATCCTGATTACCCAAGTCACTGAATCAATCCACCTCATAGAGGGCCTTCCCCTCCTCAAGCATGATGTCCCTCTCCAAGGACCAGTCCCTCCTTACAACATGTCCAAAGTATGTCAGATGAAGCCTCAGAATCCTTGCCTCCAAGGAGCAGCTTGGTTTAACCCTCTCTAGGATGAAATCTGTTTGTTTTCCTAGCAGTCCATGGTATTCTCAATACTCTTCTCCAGGACCACAGCTCAAAGGCATCAATTCTTCTATCCTTCCTAGTCATTGTCTAACTCTCTGATGCATAACAAGTGATTGCAAAGACCAAGCCTGTATTGGATGCACCTTAGTCTCCAGAGTGACACCATTGCTCTTCAGTACTTTGAAGAGGTCCCTAACAGCAGACTTTCCCATCGCACTACGTTTATTTCCTGGCTACTGGTGCCAAGAGTGTTGACCGTGGAGCCAAGCCGACTAAAGTTAACTATCTCAATCTCTTTACCATCCATCCTGATGCTGCCAATCGGTCCAATGGTGAGAATCTTTGTCTTGACAGTGAGCCTCAATCCATATTGAAGGCTGCAGTCCTTGACACTCTGCAGAAGCGTTTTTTCAGGTCCTCCTCAGTTTCAGCAAGCAGGGGTGTGTCATCTGCATAATGCAGATTGTTAATAGATCTTACACCAATCCTGACAAATAGTTCCACAGTCAGACATGCCACTCCACATGCTCCTGCACCTATTTCTACCAATCACTGGGTCCATGTTCGTTGTAACTTGACTTACAGACTTTACTCACAATTGTGAGGTTTATTAGGGAAATAGGTTGGTGAGTGGGGGAGGCAAAGAATACCACACAATGCAAGTCCAGGTTTAGTCCAGAAGCTCCAAGCCAAGCTAACAGTCAGACATAATTTTTCTGTTAGTTCAGATAGTTTCTTGGTCTACAAATCAAAGTCTAGGTTCAGTTCAGCAGCACAAATGCACCTCTGGTTTCCTCAATCATGGAGCAAATATTATCTCCGAGCAGTTACAAGTCAGCTTTTCCTTCAATCATCCAGCAAGCATCTTCTGGTTACACCTTGCTACAGTCTATTCACCCTCTCTCTACTACCATTTTTCAGAGTGTGGAAAGCACTCACATATATTGGTCCTACAGCTGTTGATGATTTGCAAAACAATGTGTCTGCAGTTAAGGTAGCTGGGGACCACCCTGATGGATAGAAAAGCCAGTTTTCAAGGTTTCTGACACCACAGATGGTTGGTTTTTGTTTTTTTTTTAAATGCTTTTTATTTTCTCATTATCCTTTATTTCTTTGTATGACTTCAAGTTAAGGTCCAGGGTCTTTTCAGAACTTAGAACAGTTCCTTTAGCATTTCTTGTGGGGCTTATCTCCTAGTGGTGAACTCCCTTTGCTTTTGAAAATTTATCTGAGAATATCTTCATGTCTCCTGCATTGCTGAAGGACAGTTTTGACAGAAATAGTCTTTCTTTCATTATTTATTGAATGCCAATCCAGTTGATATAAAATTATACTAACCAGTATAGACCATGGTTGGATTTTAACAATGCTGGCTGGAACAATACACTAAATATGCACAAAATTATTCCATCTACCCAAAGCAGAAAAAATAAACTGTATTGCATGAGGAATAAAAGTGATGAAATGATAAATTAGAGCTGGGATGTGAATAGTGAAAGGAAAGGCATCTGTCTGTCCCCAGTCACCTGTTAGGAGGAAGCTTTAGAACCATCAACATTGGTGTTCTAGGTCCAGACTTTTTCTGATTTCATTGGATCAGAGATACAACCTTAAGTGCCAGATCTTTCAAAGTTCTTTGGGATGTTTCTAATGTGCAAAATTAAGGACACTGCTCTTCGATGAGAGAAAAAATACACTGCAGGTGTTTGAGGTGCTGGAACATTTTTACCTTAACTTATGTGCAAGTCTCACAGGTGCTAACCTTACAATTAATACACTGTACATTTATTTTATGCATCTTTTCATACACACACACACACACACACACACACACACACACACACACACATCTTGGGTAAATGCATGGGTAGTCTTTTTTTCACGACCACTCCACTTGGACACAGAAAGGTTTCATCAGCTCTTCCCTTTCTCCACAGCATACACATAGGTGTTCCATGGGCCGCAGGTCACAGTCTTCACGTGGAGCTGCTGATCTACAAAGTATTCCACACGGCAGGGGTGATCCAAGCTGGCTGTGTCCTTGTGGCCAAGCTGTCCATATTTACCTAAAATGAAAGGAGCCACTCCACTGGCTTTCCTGCTTCTCCCCTCCAAGGATGGAAAACATCCCACTTAACCGAAGTGCTGCTTAAGCCTTGCCACCCTGCAGGCAGAATGCTGTTCCAGGCCACTCTGTATCTCAGCTGTGATGCTCAGAGCAGTAATTCGTTTTATCTTGAACCAGTACCAAATTATAAGCTGCTTCATAAATGTGTTCCCTTAAGGCAAAGTCTTTCAGAAACATAGCTGGGACGTATAGGTAGTGTCTCTGCTTTGCTGCTATCTAGTTACCTCCCCGTGTGCCTAGATGTGTCCCAGCATCAAGAAGGGAATGCACAGCCTCCTAGGTCGTCTTTCCAGAAACCCTCTGAGGCTCCAACTGCCATTGTTCTGCACAGCACTCCAGTATTCCCTTCCCTGAGGGGAGGCATTACAACAGCAATGGTTTACTTACCCCATCCCCATGTGTAGAGCTCCCCTGTTCCTACAAGGGAAAGGAGAGTCAATAAACAGTTTTGGGAAAACCTGATCTCCACATGCAAGAAAAAGAAACCAGATCCATGCCTCATCCCTCATTGCCGTCAAGTCAGAAAGAACTCACAACTGACCTTTTGGTGAGTTTCCTAGACTGTAAAGCACACAGGAAGACACTGCCCATCATTTTCCTGCTGGTGGATTCAAATCACCAGAGAGGCACTGCCTTTGGGTTAACAGTGCAACTCCCTACAGACTACATCACAGAGCTTCCTACATTCAATAAGGCAAATGTGTACAGAACAGACTTCATTAGCTGTTACCAGGGACTGGGGGGTGGGGGTTTAGGAGGCGTTCATAGTGATGGTGATTCTGTACTGATAAAGGGCAGGGTTGCACAGCCTAGTATTATTGTAAGAATTGTCAATAAATTGTACACGTATAAAAGCAGAAATGGAAAAAAATTGATTGATGGGGAGTTCTGGTGGCCTAGTATTAAGAAGCTGTGCTGCAATCCCGAAGGCATGTGGTTCGAGGCCACCAGCTGCAACATAGGAGGATGGGCAGTCTCCCCGGCAATTAACTGCCTCTGAGAAATCTCCAGAAGGTAAGCTATGGGTTGGTTCCAACTACGGTACACAACAACAACAACAACAGAAACATTTACAACCACCCAAACAAGGAAGGAAGGAAGGAATCATGTACAGCCAAAACACTCAGGAAATCTGGTTCCTTGGTTTGGAGGTTTAGGGTCCCAGGATTAGCAGGATAGCCCAGCTAATTACCCTAACAATGTGTCAGTGTTTCTGTCCTACCTCCCAGTTGATTGTATAGTGCCTGGGGTCTTAAAAGCTTGCATCCGTCCATCCAGAACAATTACTGGGCATAATCTACATTTACAGCAGCAGAAGGAACTGGATGGTTATCTCTGAACGACTGCCTCCTTTCCCATCACAGGACGTGGATGATGTCAGGCTACCAATACTGAATGTTCTGACTAGAGTCATGATCAAAAGAGGGAAAATGCAAAACAAGGTTTCAAATTCTCATGGAATCTAGCTTTTCTGGAGCCAGAGGAGTTGGATGAACTCCTGAAAATATTGCCCTGGGGTAGTCTTTAAATGGAAAATATCTTGTACATTATTTTTTTCCCTCCCCCCCTTTTTTTAATTAATTTTAATGAAAGTTTACAGAGACTTAGGGTTTCCAGTCATTCATTGCTGCACTTTTCTCACTGCTCACCCCCCCATTCACTCTTCTCCTTGAAAAGTAAAATTTTCATTGTTATGCAATCCCTCCTCACAAGTCCATTTGTACATTATTCTTAAAACCAGACAATAGTAATTAACCTAATAAAGAATGCTTGCCTTGAACACTGCTCTTTTAAAATCTATATGAGATCAAACTGACAGAAGAACTCAAAAGATAGAAAACTTTAGGAGCAGGGAGTTAATGTGAGTGAAAACTCCCTAAAGGAGGGTGAAATGGTTGTGCAACTCAGTATAATCAGTGTCAACTCTGTTCATGTGAACATTGTTGATCTCGTGTATGTTCTGCTGTGTATATTCGACAACAGTTAAATTTAAAAAAAAATTAAACATAAGGAGTGGATGTCACATTGCAAAGCATCTTTTTGCCTGGCCGAATGCAACTCACGACTTAAAGGGTTTTCATTCCTGTTTAACAACTGTTTAACTACACTTGGTATGGTAAAGAGCTTGAAGAGAAAAATAAGTTGACCTCCCTATGCTGACCTGTGTCAGCTGGTGAACCTGAATCTCAGAGCCTCTAAGTTCAGGCGTCCCCAAGAGCTGGTGTAGGTGTAGTGTGGGGAACAGTTCTGCCCATGTGTGGAGGACAGAGAATAGCAACCTCCTTCCACGCAGGGAACCTGAGCCTGCCAGACTCGGGGGTCATGGCCCAGGCCCATCATAAATAGGCTTCTTGCTGAGGCAGCTACTAAGTTTATGCCAAAGATGCTTCTGATGACAGTTTGGGGGCTGACCACCTTCCTGCAGCCACCAACCAGCCGGCAGGGCGGCATGACTGCCTGCTGCTCCGGAACCAGCTGCCCAGCCCTACTCACGTGTCACCACAGCGGTGTGTTGGGAGCCACAGCTGACCTGGACAGCTTCTGAGCCCATGGGGAGATCCAGCAAGGCCGGGAAGGGCTGGACCGCGATGAAGGGGTCAGAGCCTTCACCTTCACCCCCAGCGGCTCCCTTCACTCCAGAATCATCCTGGGTTGGCCTGGAGGCTTCAGAGAAACAACAAAAGTAATGATAATGGTGGTGAAGAGCACTGTCCTCCTAACCTTTAACACGAACTTGTGTAATGTTCATGATGGCTCAATGGGGCTCGGTCACTTCAACCCCCATAATCTAGAGAAGCACTGGAGTTGTGTCCTGGGGTCCCATGGATGCCACATATTCCTGGGCACTGAAGCTCTTGGGTCACCACATGGTGAGGACATGGGAGTGACGGGAAAGACCTGGGACCACCACTGTGGGAGTCAAGGGTCCTTACCCTTCCCTTCAACTGCCAGGCTTCTGGAGGGCAGGGCCAGCTGTCCGAATTCATTCCAGCCCCAGATATAAATGTCCCCAGTCTCTGAAAGACAGAAAGGGAACTCATTAAGCAGGCTGAACCCCTTTCCACCTCCTATGTCCCCTACACCCGTCCATGTCCTCTGACCCCGGCCCCTATAGGCTCCCAGGTGTTGTGTGATGGAACTCATAGCTAACCCTCCAGCAGGTTTTTAGCGACAGTACATCGCATGAGAGGACACTGCCCATCCGCCCCCTGCAGAGCAGCTACCGGAGTCAAACACATGCCTTTGGGATCGCGGCGCAGCTCCTGACCACCAGGCCACCAGAGTAGCCTAAGGACACAGACCTGCCCTGCCTAAGGTGGCACTTCAGGCAAAGGTGGCCAGTTGGGCCCCAGTGGCCTCCTTAGCCTCCTGTCCTTTCTTCTCAATACTATCTTTTTAAAAAAAGGTTTCATGCCGGAAAGAGGACCTGCCATTCTTCGATTTTGCTAATAATTTATACTCATACACCACCCCCCGTACCCCCAACTCTGGAATGTATCCCTGGACGTTCTCCAGTCGTATCCCTTTCAGATCCTCAGAGTCCTCCTTTCTTTAACCCATGCCACCACTGGTCGTGCTGCTGCCTCTTCTTGAAGCTCTCAATTCCTCTGCTTTACGAAAATTACAACACTATGTTTTTTTTGTCAGAGTAATGACCTTACTGTTAAAATTTTAGTTGTGAGTTTTCTAACTTGTATTTGTATTTGTGTGTGTGTGTGTGCACGCGCACGTGCACGCTGTCGACTTGGATCAGACTGGCTCAGGAGGAGATTGCCCCTCCTTCTCCAGAGGAGCATCTGGTAGATTTGAACGCGCGCCTTCGGGATTTGCAGTGCAGCTTCTTGCCACTGGGCCACCAGAGCTCCATGAGTTTTCTAATTTTTATAAAGCATGTAATCATATCAGTGTTGTAACCATTTTTCAAATTGTTATGTGCCATCAAGTTGCTTACAACTCATAGTGACCCTATGTACTATAGCCCTAAACACTGCTCTATCCTGAGCCAACTTCATTGTCTGACACACCTGCCCCCACTACCCCAGTCACTGAGTCAGTCCATCTCATCCAGGGTCTTCCTCTCTTGTGCTGTCCCTCCACCCTCCCAAGCATGACATCCCTCTCCAAGGACTGGTCTCTTCTTGCAACATGCCCAAATTATAATTTAATTTGCATAACAGCCTTTCAAAGTATCTATTTTATTCATGAGGGAACAAAGGCATAGGGAGATTTAGAGCAGTGTGACAACTGGAGCCTAAAAAGTCTGTTTTACAGAGTGTGGGCTCCAGGCTCTACTCTAAACTCCAGGCCTCGAACTCCCCCACTCACACTCCTATACCTGTAACACTCCCCACCAGGCTCTGTCTGCATCCCTCTCTTCCTTCCATCCCAGTAGTTCTCATGACTGGCTACCACTTCAAGCCCAGAACATGAGAATATGGTGGGGCGAGTACAGGCTAGGGATGTTTTTATAGACCTAGCAATCTGAAGTTGCAACCAGGCTGACCACACAGCGCTGCTCGTAGTCTAATCACAGATCCTCCCAAACCTCATCTGCTCCCTGCCCCATGCTCCCTGTGACGGCTCCACAAAGCACCCCCAGAGAGAGCTTCTCCAGCAGCCTGGGAAAAGGCACCTCCCCACCTGCCAGGGCCATACATACAACACAAAATGAGCGCTCAATCGGGTGCTGGGGGCACCAGTTGTGGCACCTTCAGAGAGTCACACTTGTCAGTGGGCATGTGGCCACCTGAGCAAGAGGTAGCCTTCTCCAAGCCCTAGGTTCTGCTGCCCATGCTGCCCTACACACTCCCCTGGGGCATAGTTTACAAAAAGTCTCAAGAGACGGCAGATGGATGGGAGAGGTAGTGAGACTGGCAGCAAAGAGAAGACAGATGGGGGTAGAGGTGGGCATGGAGAAAAGTGCAACAATGGAAATCCAAAATCTCTGTAAATGTTCATTAAAATTAATTAAAAAAAAAAAAAAGACAAGACAGACAATCTCAAATGTCCATGTCAGCTTGGGTAATGGCGGTGGCAGAAAGGGTGGGTTTGAGAGGCATCTATCCACTTCCTGTCATTCCAACTCCTGGCATCCCCATGTCTGTCAGGGTAGAACTACACCCCACAGAGTTGTCAATGGCTGTGGCCTTTAAGAAATAATTTCTTTTGAGGTGACTATCTGTGGATTAAAAAAAATCATTAATCTTTCAGTAGTCGAGTACTTAATTTCTGTCACCCAGGGGGTCCTGAGAGACACTGAAACCCAGTTAGTCAAATCTTTTCCAACTTATAGTGACCCTGTCAGGCAGACAAGACGCCCTACAGTTTCTCAGGCACAGTGGTAGAGAGTTGCGCTGCCATCCCCCAAACTGGCAGTTCAAATTCACCTGCTGCTCCGCGGGAGGATGGGCAATCTCCTCCTTTGCGATTAAAATGCCTCTGAAAACCTGCTAGAGGGTCAGCTATGGGTCCGTCCTGACTCTATGGTACACAACAACAGTAACAATCGTTATGGGCGGAGAGAACCACGTGTTTCTTCCATGGTGGTGGGTACTAACCACTTGCCTTTCACTCAGCAGCTCAGCATATACCATCAGGCCTCCTGACGGCTATAAAGAGCCATAAATGACTGAGCTGATGAGAGATGTGAGATGAGCTTGGAAGGAAGCAGGATTAAGCCATCTAGCAACACTGGAAAGGAAGGAAGGCGGCTAAAATGGGAGATCCACAGATTGAGAGTTTGTCTGGAGAAGGGCTGGGTCACTCACCACTCAAGCATACAGAGTGCCAGCCGCCCGCCGCCACCTCCGCCATGGGTAGACCCTGCAGCGCCTCCAAAGGCCTTGGTTTCGACTCCGCCTCCAGGGTGCCATGGCCCAGCTGTCCATGCCTGAGCAGGGGGACCCCGTCAGCGAAGCCAGCTCACAGGGAGCCCCTGCCCTGCCTCTCGTGGTCACTCTCGCCCGGCCCAGAGGCACTTACACCTGGCCACGCCCCCTCACCTGCCACCGCCCCAGGAGAAGACCTGGCCCGCGATACCCAGCATCAAGGCGTGCTCCACGCCCAGCTCCAGCTGGCGAGCGCGCAGCTCTGGGGCCAGGGGCTTGAGGAAGGGCAGCCGACAGGTCACATAGGCGCAGGCGCCTGGCAGCAGAGGCAGCCGCGTGGACGGGACCTCAGCGTCCGGCCCGAGGTCCCCCTCAGCCTCCGGCTCCAGGACCTGCGCCCACAGGGGCTCCCCGAGCGCGGGCGAGCTGGGCGCCCAGACCTGCAGCTCCGCCCCGGGCCCCGCCCCCGTGCGCAGGACCACGAGCGCCACCTCCGAGGCCCAGGCGTCCGCGCAGCTGTCGACCACGCCGCTCACCGAGCCCGACAGCAGCATGCGGCCCCCGCCTGCGGAGGACAAGTGCGGGGTTAGGGCCGAGAACCGGACCCGCGGGAAGTCCAGACCGGGGCTGGCTGGCGGGGGTCGGGAGAGGGGCGGGCACGCTCACGGGTCACCAAGGCGGTGTAGCTCCAGCTGGCGCTCACGCGGCAGATTTCCGCACCCGGCGCCCGCAGCGGCTCGGGGCTGGCCACCATCCGGAACCCGGGCGAGGAGCCCAGCTCCTGCTGGAAGCCGCAGAAGCCGAAGCCGAACCAGGCCCCGGGCCGCTCCTCCGCCATGCCCGGCCGGCGCCCTCTGCTGGCCGCCTCCTGCAGGGGTGAGCCGCAACCTAGAGTTGGGCTTGGAATCCGGGAAATTGTTGCCAAGGACGAGCTCCTTTATGCAGCACGGGCGAGCCTCTGGCCTTCCAGGGTCTGCAGCTGCTTTATCTGTAAACTAGGAGAGAATAATAGCCTTCTAAATGAGTCGGTTGTTGGGATTGTTAACAGCTTCAGCAGCCAAGAAATCAAAAGACAAATTGCTGTAAAGGACCTCTCCAGAGGACTGAAGAGCCGCATTATCAGTGTGGAGACTCAGGTGTGCCTTAGTGGAGACTAACCAGGCCGTAGGATTTGCCATTATTTGCTATACATCAGAAAGCTGGACAATGAGTAGGTATGATAGGAGAATTGATGTCTTTGAGCTGTGGTGCTGGAGAAGAGTATTGAATATACCATGGACTGCTAGGAGAATATACTTGAATATACTTGGCCTACCAATCCCAAGGTGGTATAGCATTGGTCTGTGCATTCCTGTACAGAGGTAACTCGTGGTTGTTGTGATGCTGAACACTGTGACACTGATGTGCTGAATGTGATAATGGTCACCCATGGCGGACAGTGTTTGCTGGAGCTTCCCGATTAAAACAAGCCTGGAAGCAGGAGTGGCATCCACTTCCGAAATGGCTTGCCTCCGGAAACTCCGAACAATGCTCAGGCCTTTTATTCATAGGGTCACTATGAGTCATCTATGACTCAATGGCACCTAACAACAACACAACAACAACTAGGAAAACAAGTTCATTCCAGAGAGGGTGAAACCAGAATGCTCCTTGGAGGCAAGGAGTTTGAAACTTTTTCTGACTTACTTTGGACATATTGCAAGGGGGGACTAGTCCTTGGAGAGGGACATCATGTTTGGAAGAGTGGAGGGACAGTGTACAGGACGAAGACCCTCAATGAGATGGATTGATTCAGTGACTGGGGTAATGGAGGTAGGTGTGTCAGAGAGAATGAAGATGGATCAAGATAGAGCAGGGTTCAGAGCTGTTGTAGCTATGTAGCTATGAGTTGCAAGCAACTCGATGGCATATAACAACAGTGAGTTGGATGAACTCTGATGGCCTAGTGGTAAGAAGCTGTGCTGCAATTCCAAAGACACATGGTTTGAATCCACCCACCAGCTGCTCTGTCACCCATGTGACTGCTTCTGAAAACCCACTGGAGGATCAGCTGTGGATCAATTCTGATTCCACAGCACACAACCACCACGATTTGGTTAGGAATCTGTGGTCTACTTGGTTACTTATCAAACTGCTAACAGGTGAGCGCTTGAATCCACCACCTGCTAGCAGGAGAAAGATGAGACCATCTTCTGTGGTTAAGGTCTACAGCCCATGGAGCCTGCTTTGAGCGTGCATTGACTGGATGGTGATGGGTTTTGGTTTGGTAACAAGTCCCAATCAGACTCCAGGGCAGGGAATCCTAACTAGCAAACCCAACCCCTTTACCAGGTAATCAGTGATTCATGGCAGCTCCACGTGTTACAGAATATAAACCTTCATTGTGCCTTCTTGCCTGTAATCTTTACTGGAGTAGATCACGCCATCTTAATTCCATAGCCAACGGTGGGGTTTGAACCACCAGCCCCTGTTTGTGGTCGAGGGCAAACTGTTGTACCACCCAAGGACCTTCTCTAACCTCCAAACAAGAGTCCTCTCCATACACCTTTGCTGAGCTCCAACCTTTTCTGAGGCCCTACCTCAGGATATAGGAGGAATATTGTAAACTAATTGGAGTTCTGTACTGACTGGTGGCTTTCCTGTAATTGATTCTTGTTGGTTTAAGTTCAGCATGCCAGAAAGGTGCAGGAAATCTAAGTTACACTAGAATCCGACCTCTAACTCTGCCTTTGTTATGTCTGACACATCCCACGTAATCTTGTGAACTAGCTGGAATTGTCCTCTTTTTATAGAGGAGGTAATTGAGACTTTAAGAGAAAGTAACTTCATATAATCACACAACTGAGATGGCAGAGGTAGAGGGCTGAACTTCAGTCCATATGCAGACATGTGGGAGTGGAAAGCAGTAAAGAACTTGGTAGGCAGGACCTGTATGGGTTACCAAGTGCCCCACCTCTGCATCTAGCAGTAGCTCTCTGTCCTCATCACTTAATCTCTTTTTTTTTAAATTTATTTTTTTTTAATATCACTTAATCTCTTAATCCTATCAGGGTCTTTAGTTTTAAAAGGAAGTGGTGATTGTACCTACTTCATAGTATTTGGCCAAATAATATAATCAGTGTTGAGAAAACTGTGATAAACACATGGTAAGTATTAGTTTATTAAATCTAGTACTTAAAATTGACATGATGGCCATGGGTATTACTAGTTTTTTAGGGAGTTCTGGTAGCCTAGTGGTGAAGCAGTGCACTGCCAGCTGAAAGGCAAGCAGTTCAAATCCACCTGCTGCTCTGTGAGAGAAAGATGGGCAATCTACCATTTACAGTCTTTGCAAACACACTCGATGGTCAACTGTGAGTCAGTTCTGACTCAGTGCACGTAACATATTGACAAAAGAGTAAATAAATCTGTCTTAGAAATAGTGCAATCAACCTACAACAGATAAAACAGATGAATGAGACCAGCTAAGAATCAAATCCCTATGCACATCCAAAAAAAAGCTTCTCTAACAGGGTAAAGAGGGAAGCCACGGACTGAGGAGAAATATTTGGTAACAGCTTGTCTGACACAACCCTGCTTGCTGAAACTGAGGAGGACCTAAAGCACTTGCTGTAGAAGTCAGGGACTGCAGTCTTCAGTATGGATTGAGACTCAATATCAAGAAAACAAAGATTCTCACCACTGGGCCAATTGGTAGCATCATAATGGATGGTGAAGAGATTGAGATTGTTCACAGTTTTGGTTTGCTTGGATCCACAGTCAATCTTGGTATCAGCAGCCAGGAAATTAAAAGACGTATTGTGATGGGAAAGTCTGTGGTTAGAGACCTCTCTAAAGTGCTGAAGTGCAAAGATGGTAAGTCTGGAAACTAAGATGCACCCGATACATGCCATGGTCTTTGCAATCACTTGCTGTGCATCAGAGAGCTAAAGACTAGGGATGATAGAATGAGAATTGATGACTTTGAGCTGTGGTGCTGGAGAAGAGTATTGAATATGCCATGGACTGCTAGGGAAAAAAACCCAGATTTGTCCTGGAGAGGGTGAAGCCGGGCTGCTCCTTGGAGGCAGGAATTCTGAAGCTTTGTCTGACATACTTTGGACATGTTGCAAGGAGGGACCAGTCCTTGGAGAGGGACATCATGCTTGGGAGAGTGGAGGGACAGCGAAGAGAGAGGCAGACCCTCGATGAGATGGATTGATTGAGTGACTGAGGTGTGTCGGAGATGGGATGAGATGGTGAGATTGGCACAGGATAGGGCAGAGTTTAGGGCTGTTGTACATAGGGTCACTGTGAGTCATAGGTGACTCAACGGCACATAACAACAACAATGGCATGTCTGATAAGGGACTTGCATCTAGAATTTACTGAATACTTGAGCACCACAACAAGATAAAGATAAACAAACCAACTGCAAAATGGGCACTGGATATGAACAGACACTTCCCCAAAGAAGACATTCAGATGGTGAACAAACACATGAAGAAATGTTCAAAATCCCTGGCTCTAAGAGAGATGCAAATTAAAACAACTATGAGATATCTCACCCCAGTCAGAATAGCAAAATTTAACAGAACAGCAAGCAACAAATGCCAGCGAGGTCGTGGAGAGACTGGAACTCTTATTCACTGTTGGTGGGAGTGTAAAATGGTACAACCACTATGGAAAGCAGTACGGCACTTTCTCAAAAAGTTGTAAATAGAAATACCATTTGGCACAGCAATTCCACTACTGAAAATATACCCTAAAGAAACCAGAACTGCCACTCAAGCAGATATATACACACCTATGTTTATTGCTGCTTTGTTCACAATAGCAAAAGAGTTGGAAATAGTCCAAGTGCCCATTAACAAACGAATGGATAGAGAATCTGTGGTATATTCACACCATGGAATATTATGCTGCATGAAAAACAACTCATGAAATATACAAAATGGGTGACCCTGGAGGACATTTTGCTGAGTGAAATATCTCAGTCACAAAAAGAAAAATACTGTATCATGCCACTGTTATAGAACAGGACTGATATGGGGGTTGAGGGAAGCTAAGAAAAGAGGGGATAAATAATGTACACGGCATTGAAACAGAGAACTGTATAAAAGGAACATGATTAGGCATTATTGGCATGACAAGAATCCAGAATAAGAGCTGCATAGTAAAGTGGTGGTGGTGGGATGGAGGACAGGGAGGAAAATGTGTAACAATGAATGGAAATTAAAAAAGAACATGTCCAAACCTGTTACTACCAAATATTGTATACATTTTCTAAAAAAAAAGGCAGGGAGATTAAAAAAAAAAAAAAAAGGAATGCAATCAAAATATGAGTTCATCTACTTTTTTAGACGTCCCTGGAACATTATGCTTGGAAAAGTAGAGCGCCAGTGAAGGAAAGACAGACGTTCAATGAGATTAATTGACTCAGTGATGGCAATAGTGGGCTTAAATACAACAGAGATTGAGGATGGCACGGCTGTGTTCTGTTAGACACAAGGTCTTAAGTCAGAGCCAAGCCAGCACACACACACAGTCCTAGGGGTCCCTGGATGGTATAAAAATAGGCATGTTTGCTGATTGAAAAGTTGGAGGTTTCAGTGAGCTCTGGTGGCCTATTGGCAAGACGCTGCACTGCAATCCCAAAGGTACGCGGTTCAAATCCACCAGATGCTTTGCTGGAGAAGGAGGGGGCAATCTCCTCCTGTACCAGTCAGATCTGATTTGATGGCACACGTAAAAAGAATACAATAAAAATAAAAATTAAAAAATTTTTAAAAAAGTTGGAGGTTTGAGTGCCCAGAGGCACCCCTAAAGGTCTGGTATTCCACTGGAAAATCAGCAATTGGAAACCTTTTTGAAGCCCAGTGCTACTGTGACACACAGGTCATCATGAGAGCAAATGGACTGGATCATACAGGCACAAACCTCAACAGGACCTCTTCCAGTCATCTGTTCTTTCAACATGGCTTTACTCCGGACCGGTAGGGCAGATATCTGCGTCCATAGAGCTCACTCTTGAACGGGGAGACTGGTGATTATAACTGCAGCGCCATTTTCTCAGAACAGCATGTTGATGGGAGAGAATCCTGGATCGCAGGCTCTCCTCCGCGTGTACTCCCAACCCAACAGAGCCTCTGACCTTGATCCTGACCCTGCACCTTCCGTTTCCTCAGGTGAGTCCTGGTGGGTAGGATCGAGGAAACGCCGGGGTGCAGAGGGGCATCTGCAGAGCACCTCAGCACTTTAGTGGACACAGCCAAGGAAGAGAAAAAGTTCAAGAGGCGCGCCCTGAGCGAGGCGGCCGATTGGCTGCTGCAACCTCATCTGGGCCAATTGCTGGCGAGAGCAGTGACGTCAAAGGGGGAATCGAGGTGCTGCCCTGCGGAGAGCCCTCCTTAGAACTGATCCTTTAGGATCGGAGGCCTACCTCGGGCGGAGGGGACCTGTGAAATGGAGCGAACCGCCTATGGACGCGGACCGCAGGACATGCCCTGCATGGTCTCCGCCCCCGCAGACACTCGTGGGACCGTGGAGCTCAGTTCAACCCATGTTACAGTTCGGGTTGGAACCTCGACCTAAGGGATTGGCAAAGAGCGGTCCCTCAGATGGTAGACCCCGCCATGTTTCAGGATGGGACGCAACCCCGCCTTGCTAGGGTCAAGCATGACTGATACTGAAACAGGAAACGGCTCGTGCTCAACTGGCTCTATCTGCCATTGGTGCAGGACCTGTCACTTATTTCTGTCAAACCAATGAGCTTCCAGCTAGATTTAATGCTGAAAGTGGGAACAGGATCTCAGCATAGAGGCCAGGCTTCCATCCAACTGGTTCAGCTATAAGAGGTGCATCGTGTTTCCCTTGAGGGTTGGAAATAGCCTGCTTACCACAGGGGCGCATAAGTTCAAGCTGCTCGGAAGGAATTGGAAGATATAAGGCCCCAGAAATTGATGGAATACCAATTGACATATTTCAACAAACAGATGCAGCCCTGGATGTGCTCACCAGGTTATGCCAAGAAATTCAGAGGATAGCTACCTGGCCAACTGACTGGAAGAGATCCGTATTTATTCCCATTCCTAAAAAAGCTGATCCGACAGATTGTGGAAAGTATCAAACAATATCACTAATATTACATAGAGGCAAAATCTTGAAGATTATCCAAAAACAACTAGAAAAATGTATCAACATAGAACTGCCAGAAATATTAGCTAGGTTTAGAAGAGGCCATAAGGATTTATCATTGCTGATGGGAGCCGGAACTTGGCTAAAAACAGAATACCAGAAGGATGCCAGTTTCTGTTTTATCAGCTATGCCAAAGCATTTATTTGACTGTGAATAACAACAAATTGTGGCTAACATTAAGAATGGGAATCCCTATTTTCTGGAATAGAAAAAAAAAAAAAAAGAATGGGAATCCCAGGACACTTGATTATGCTCATGCAAAACCTATCCCTAGGCCAAGAAGCTATTGTCTAAACAAAGAGAACATTGGATGGTTCAAAATCAAGAAAGAAATGCATCAGACATGTATCTTATTGCTATACCTTTTCAATCAATATGAGTAGGTCATTCAGGAGACTGGAACTTATAAAGAAAAATGTGGCATCAGGATACGAGGAAGACTCATAAACAACCTGTGTTATGCAGATGACATAACTTTGTTTGATAAAATTGAGGAGTTGAGCATTTGCTATATTTGGCATGGATTACATCTCAATGTCAAGAAAACAAAGGCTCTCATCACTGGGCCAATGGATGGCGAGAAGATTGAGGTTAACAATTTCATTTTGCTCAGATCCACAATCAACACCTTTGGCACAAGTGGTCAGAAGCCAAGGTGCATTCTAAAAATCTGCTGTCAGGTACCTCTCTAGAGTGCTAAAAATCAACAGTGTCTAGAGACTAAGGTGCACCCAGTCCAGGCCATGGTCTTCTCAATTGTTTGCTATGCATCTGAAAGCTAGATAATCACTAAGGATGACAGAAGAAAAACTGATGCCTTTGAACTGTGGTGCTGGAGAAAACTGAACTTTCAAGAGAACAAACTGGTCTGCCCTAGAGAGGGTGAAATCGGGTTGTTCCTTAACAAGGATTTAGGAAAAATCCAGATAAGCATTTTGAAATTCCATCTCACTTACTTTGGGCATGTTGCCAGGAGGGATAAGTCCCAGAAGGACATCATGCTTGAAAGGGTGGAGGGACAGTGTAGGGATGAGATATACTGACACACATGGACTGTGGCAATGGGGTGAGGTGTGTCAAAGGCAGCGAGGATGGTTCAGGATAGGGCACGGTTCAGAGTCACTGCTGCTAGGAGTAATAGTCGACTCAATGGCACACAACTACGACATGGGCTTAGAAACCACAGGGCAGCCTGAGTCACTGAACTCACTGTACAAAGACCATAGCATTGAAGAGGTTGTGTACAGGAAGTCTGTACTCAAGTCCTCAAACCCACTCCACTGTACTTTCTTGATTAGCTTCCTGGGCTTAGCCCTCTCCCCTCCAACATGACCAAGAGGTGACCGAGAAAACCCTGGTTGAAAAATCATCAGACTCCTCCCATGGTGGTAGGTCTGCTCCTGTGAAGCCCTAAAGCGGTGCCAAGGTCTAGCTCCCCTGCCCACAGCCAGACCACCTGCCCAGAACAGTGCACACATCTGAGTTCCACACATTTTATTAGAGGGCAGGGTGGGCCGCTAGCAGGCGCTGGGTGCTCACAGCTGATGCAGCTGCGTGATGTGCCCTTCCTGCTGCCTGGGAACTCACAGACCGGGGTGGGTGTGCCAGCCCCACTCTCTGTCCACAGTCGTACAGGAAAGGGCCCTGTGAGGCGAGGCTGGAGGCAGTGCTCACAGCAGGTTGTGTGGTGGGAAGTGGCTAACGCAGAACAGAGGCCAGCATCCCCTGTCCCACTGGCCAGAGCTGCCTGTGTCTTTTCTCCCAGTGCTGTGACAGGTGAGGCGTGTATGTTCACTGTGCCCGAGCAGTGGACCGTGAGGCAACCCCTCACTCGCTGTCTTGGTTGGGTTTGATCAGCCCGTACTCCACCGCTTTCCTCAGGCACGCCGTGGCTGCCCTGGTGACAGGGCCCTCCTCGCCTCTGGTCAGCACAGACAGGATCTCCAGAACCTCGCTCTCCATCAGGGCGCTGGCGATCTCCTTGGAGGCCTCCACCATATTCAGCACCACCACGGCGCCCCGGTGCTGCAGCTCCTGGTTGGGGCTCAGAAGCAGGGCCTGCAGGATCTCCAGCCAGTGTGTGGTCTGTAGGACACAGGGAAGGATGTGTCCCCTGAGCCGCGCCACCAAGCCAGGAGTCCCTGGCCCAGCCCTCCCCCTGCATAGGTAGAGGCACTGACCACTTTGGGGATGCGGCTGCAGAGTGAGGGCCGTAGGGAGGTGAGCATGGCCAGGCCCCCGGCGGCCGCCCGCCTCAGCAGCTCATCGTCCTCTCCGCTGTACAGCACCAGCAGCTTCAGCCGGTCATTGCCCTCCGCAACAAATAGGTCCTGTACCTGTGGCCGGAGGAGGGAGGCGGGTGTTGAGGCGGGGACACTGCTGTGTCTGGCCCCCCATGACTGCCCTGGGCCAGCCCTCACCTCCTTGCACATGGCCATGTTGGACATGCACTCTGTGGCTGCCCGGCGGATCATCTCGTGCTCCTCAAACATGTAGCCTTCGATCATGGGCACCGCCTTCTCCTTCAGGATCTTCTGTCTGCAGGGCAGAGGCGGGGACAGCCACCAGCATCACAGCCTCTGCATCCACTCCTCCTCCACCCTCCACTCCCCCGCCAGACCCAAACCCCCAGACTCTGAGCCCTGGGCCAGGGATTTCTAAGGGAAGCCGAATATCAGATTTAATAATACTAGACCAAATGCTGTTTCGGGGAAATGAGGGAAGCTTGATTGCCCACCTTGTGGCAATGGGGCGTTCCCTAGGAGTTAACATTGTTCTTAGTTTGTGTCAAATGAACCCCTCCCCCTTGATATTAGCATAAAGAGGAACTTGGCCTTATCTGTAAAAGACTTCACCATTATCCTTTGTTTTGTACTTCCTTGTGATTTTATTTTTTTTATCTTATGATTCTAAATAAATACTCAGAGAAGCATGGCTTGAGGTCTTCAGTCGAGAACTGCTGACCCTCTGTTTTACGCTCTCTGCTTTATCTCATTCCTGGCTGTTTGTCTCTTTATTAATAATTGTAAAAATTGTAATTCTATTCTTTGGGACCAACGGTCTGCAACAGGTTTCCCTTGGCAATGTCCAAAGAGTTCCCTGTACCAGGTAGTTTACAGCTTTCTAAGCAGGCCCAGGAGAGCGCATGGGGCCATGGGAAGTGTTCTCAACTAGGAGTTAGGAGATCTGGGTCATCATGGTGACACCAAAGCTTAACATCTGAGGGTGTGACTGTCATTACGATTTTGCAGAAAAGGAAAATGGGCTGAATGGTTGAGTAATATGCCCAAGGTAACAACCAGGAATAATGGCTAATGCGTACTGGTACACTGCTAGGGGCAAGACAGGTATAAACTACTTTTATACGTAACTTCTCACTGGCAAGTATTGTGATCAACAGTATTTCACGGAGGAAAACGCCAAAGCAAGGAGAGATTAACTACCTTTCTTGAGGTAACAATCAGTGACCCAGTGAAGTCAGGATTTGAACCACACCTTCTGACTCCCCAACCCCGCACTCCGTCCCTGAGGGCTGGGCTGCCTCTCAGCAGAAGCTGCACAAGCCATGCTCTGTCAGTCTCATCTGCATGACGCAGAGGCTTCACTGCGAGGCTCAAATGGGCCAGTGGCTGAGAAGTGCTTTCCAAACTCTTAGGGATGACACAAATGCTGCTGCCCTGCCCAGGCCCTTCACCCCGAGAATCCTCACCGGAGCCGCTCATTGATTCCTGCCAGGTTCGTGAGGGCCATGAGTGCCTCGAAGTTCTGCAGGCCTGAGCAGCTGAGGTGCAACAGGGAGACCAGGGGCCGCACCACCTCATAGATCTGTAACATGCACCCACCTGTCAGAGCTACTCACCCCAGCCCCCATTGGCCCTGCAGGGAGGAGACCACTTCAGAGTGCTGCCCTCCCCTCTAGGACTCAGCAAGACTGTCCAAAGAGGAGCTGCAGCCCATGGTGGAAAACATTAGGGCCCAGGGAAGGGATGAGGTCAGGGTCAGGGCAGAAGGACACACACCCGCTCGCCAGGAAAAGTCATCTCTGGGTTGGAGGTGATGGTGAGCTTGGCGAGTGCCTGGGCGGCCTTTATCTGCCCCACGTCAGTGCCTTCTAGCGCCAGCGGAAGCAAAGCCTACAGGAGCAAGTGGTCAGGGTGCAGGGCATGCTGGGAGTCAGGGCCCATCCCATCAGGCCCTGCGGCCCTGACAGCACCACCCCCATCTTTGTCCCCCTCCCCAGTCCAGGCTTGACCCTACTCCTACTCTCTTCACCTCTCTCTTACTGAGTGCCCCACACACTTCCTCAAATGCCCAATAACGGCTGGACATGACAGTGCTGAGGGCTGGGCTGTGGAGGAAATTCGACAAGGGTGAAGAAAGAGGGCTCAGGGCCCAGGAGCCACCCCAGCTTGGCGTCCCTCACGCAGCAGGAAGACACATATGCTGGGACTTAATAATGCACTGCAGCCCTCCAGTCAACTTCGAAAGCCAGCACAGCGGCTATGAGTCATGTTTTATGGCCTATGGCCCCCGTCTGCAGGAAGGAGTCTGCACCCAGCGTACCTTGCCCCCTCCCTGAGCGACCACAGTGCCTCGGTCTGCCACTTCTTCCACCAGCGCCAGGAAGACCCTGTGGGGAGAAGGATGTGGCTGGCCTGAAACAGGTGGACACTGCCTCTGCCAAGCAAAGTGCCTGCCCCCTCAGGATTGGTTCCCTCTGCAGTCACTGTGGGAGCCAAGGAGCTGAGCAGGGCTTGCCGGGTCCCACGGACTCACCGAGACAGCAGCTCCCTGCAGGAGTTGGTCAGCACGGGGCTCTCAGTCTTCACCATGCACGTCATGGCTGACACCACCCCTGCCTCCAGCAGCTTCTTCACCCGGGCTCGCACAAAGCTCGGTTTGTCCTGTGGACGGAAGCAGCTCAGCAGAGACCCCAGATGACTAGATGGGGACAGGGGACCCCTCCTCATGGCACCAACTGTTGACTGTGGGAATAACAGCCCCAAAAGGGTAAATAAACCTACTGTAACTGGAGACTCTTTTGTGGATACCCTGGGCCAACTGCCCATGTGTCAGGTAGATCCCTGCCTCCTTTGAGGGGCCCCTTACCTTGGGGTGCTGCTCCGGCACGTGTTGCTTGGCGTACTTGGCCAGCTCCACCATTTTGGGGTCAGGCTCCTCATAGTCGTAGCTGTTGGTGCAGTTCACCAAGGCTGAGGCCACCGCAAAGAGCACAGACCTCTCCTCAGACTGCAGAGAGACAAAGGACATCCAGCAGGCCAGCCTAGGGTCACAGGACTCCACAGCACTGGGACTACGCTTCCACGGTCCAGGCACCCCGGCCTACCCCCGGCTGGACCACCCAGGCAATGGGATAAAGGTGGGGACTTCCCCAGGGCCCAGTCAGGATCTGGATTTTGGGAGCTCACAAACTGGCTTTCCCAGCTCCTCCAACAAGCTGTCATTTCTGACACTGCTGGTCCCATGTCACACCAAGAGGCTACCTGAGCTCCCTGCCCACCCTCCCAGGATCACCAGGAAAAAGCTGCAAGAGCCAGTGGTCAAGACTTACCAAGAAAGCCCAAGTAAGCTCTAGTCCCAGACATGGTCCAGGACAATGTCAGGAGCCCCCAGACCTACCCGGCTGAGCTGGAAGAGAGCCTTCAGGGCAGCCTCGTCCTGCACAAACTCTTCCTTCACGTCAGCATCAAAGGTGAGGTAGGCCAGGCCCTCCACTGCCCAGCGCCGGGTGCCTGCGTCAATCTGGTCATTGCACAGCCACCTGAGGGCATGGGGATGGGGGGCAGCTGTCAGAAGTGGGGTGAGAAGAGGAAGGCCAGGTCTAAGAGGGCAAAGCCAGGGGCTTGGACATTCCTTCAACATATGGAAGCAGCTCACTTGCTACGGTCCAAGAGTGTCTGCAGGGGAGAGTAGCCCCTGCCTGAGCCGGAGAGCAGAGAAGAGAGGGGTCAGTGAGGTGCCCGCCACCCAGGGCCCCCCTAGTTCTACTGGGCAGGGGTCCAGGCACGGTAATGCCACCAACTCACTTCCGGCACTGCTTGGCCAGTTTGAGAGTGGAGCCTTCGGCAAACTGCTTCATGCTGAAGTCTGTCCCGCCGGCCGAGCCGAGCTTACAGAGCCCCTGAAGGACAGCGAGAATCGGCTACCTCCCCTCGCCTCCCAGGGACCCTGCCCCATCCCACCAGACCACCATCCAGAGCATCTGGCTGTGAGGGAGGCCTCGAGACCTAACACTAATGGAGACCAACAAGCACCCTGGTCGCTGGACTTCCCTGGCCCCTGGCCCTTCCTAACCTACACCACTCCTGACCTGGGATTTCTTCATTCCTCTCTGTGTTGGTATAAGAGCTCTGTAAACGAAGTTGAGCTTTGTGTGTGGAACAAAGGGGCTTAGGCCGAGGCCAGCATCTTCAGGGGAGGGAGCAAGCCAAGCCTAAATGTGCCCAGGAGGAACACCGGCGTCCTCAGGTGCCCAGCTACTATGCAACCATGGAGGGCCATCCAAGCACCAGTTTGAGGAGATGCGCACGTGCTCCCCGTGGGCCTGGCCTCTCCACACCTCCCTCCTCATCTCCTACAGGTGCTCCTCCCTGAGCCCCCAGTACTGCCCACACAGCCCCTACATGCCTCATCTGCTGACTGGCTGTAAGCTCCCCAGTGGCCTGGACCTTGCTTTCAACCAGGTCCGAAGGGCCCCCCTCATTCCCTCTGGTGCCACAGCTGAGACCCGAGCCGAGCTGGCATCCCTGCGTGCTTGCCCTGGCCCTGCCCTACCACTAGCGCCCGGATGCGGATGCTGTCCTTCTCGCTGCTCTTGTACAGGTCCTTGAGCAGTGAGACGCCGTTGGCAGTGATGAACGAGGCCCGTTTGGCCTTGCCGGCCGCATGGATCAGAGCCTCCACAGCCACCAGCTGCTCGTCCTCCTGCTCGGAGGCACACAGCGCAATCACGCTCTCCATGACGCCACTCAGCTCCAGGGCACGGTTGCCGGCCTCACTTGGGCCCTGCAGGAGGCAGGACACTGTCTGGATGGCCCGCAGCTTCCCGGCCAGCCCTTGGCCCTCAAACCAGCTCCTGAGGGGCACAGGGTAACAACTGTCACATAAAGACCAGCTTAAGAGGACTGCCCTGCCTCTTATCTCCTCTCCCCTCCAGGGCCAGGCACTCGTGCTAGGTAAGCAGGCAGGGAAGGACTTGATGTTTCTGCCCAAACAATAGGTGCTGGTTTTCTCTATCTAGCTTGATAAGGAGTTCTGGTGGCTTAGTGGTAAGGAATTATGCAGCCAACCCAAAGGCAGGCAGTTTGAATCCACCAGCTGCTTTTTGAGAGAAACACAAACAATCTCATCCCAGGCAATTAAACTACCTCTGAAAACCCGCTGGAGGATCAACTACGGGTCGGTTCCGACTGGACGCACGTGAGTTATCGAGCAGGGTCTCACTCATGCCTCTCTCTCATGCTACCCTGCCCATTTCCCTGTCTGAACTTACTAAGATCAGAAATAATTTTATTTATTCATAATGTGCTTATCACCAATCACCTCCCTAATTACAAGCTCCTTAAAAGTAAAGACCCTTGTGGTTGATAGCTATATTGGCAACAATAGTAAGTAGGAGCTTAGTCACAGCATGCGTTTGAGAACACCTGTTACTGATTTCAGAAAACACTTGCCTGGCCAAAGTTACCTTTGGAAGGAGAATGGGGCTCAGGACCACTTTAGTCTACCACAAGGTTTCCCTCCCCTCTGCTGTCCCTTCTCAGAGGATCAGAACTGCTGGACACCCCCTCCAGCTGCCCCCGCAATGGGAGACAGGAGCCTCCGTACTTGATGTAGTTTTCACAGAGTCGGTGGAAATTTTCTCTCTCGGCATCGCACTTGAGGTCATCGAAGAGCTTGCTCAGCAGGATGGAGGCGCTCATGCGGCTGTTGGCAGTCCCCGTTACTTCCCCAGGGGGTGCTGGCATGGAGCCCCCCACCTCCAGAATCTTCTTCAAACCTGAAAAGGACATTGTTTTAGTCCAGAGGACATGCGTACCGGCCACTATGGATTAAGGGGTTAGGAGGGAGATGCACTGAGGAACGGGAACGCCTCCCTTTGAGATAAGGAGGTCACAGGAAGATGTGGGGTCTGAAGGCAGCATGGCATCAGGGAACGACCTCGGAAGTAAGATCCACATCCTAGCCCTGCATGCGAGCCCTGTGCTCTGAGGCCCAGAAGTGTCTCGTCTCTAAGACTGATGAGGAAAACCCCACCCATACCTCCTAAGATTACTGGGAACACAAACGAGGGGCCTCAAACACATGCTCATGTTAAGACCTTTACCAAAGCTTTTGTATCTCTCTCTTACGAGAAAAAAGAAGTTTGAATTTATGCATTGTTGTTGTTATGCACTGACAAGTCTCCTGCAACTCATAGTGACCCTATGTACAACAGCCCTAAAACCTGTTCTATCTCTTGCCAATCTTATTGTCTCCGACACACCTATCCCCATTACCCCCGTCACTAAATCAATCCATTTCATCGAGAGTCTTCCTCTCCTGCGCTGTCCCTCCACCCTCCCAAACATGATGTACCTCTCCAAGGACAGATCCCACCTTGCAACATGTACAAAATATGTCAAAATAAAGCTTCAGAATCCTTGCCTCCAAGGAGCAGCATGGCTTCAACCTCTCTAGGTCAAACTTGTTTGTTCTCTTAGCAGTCCATGGTATATTCAATACTCTTCTCCAGCACCACAGCTCAAAGGCATCAATTCTCCTTCTATCATCCCTAGTCATTGTTCAGCTTTCTCATGCATAGCAAGTAAGTGCAAAGACGATGGCCTGTATCAGACACACCTTACTCTCCAGATTGACAACGTTGCTCTTCAGTACCTTGGAGAGGTCTCTGACAGCAGACTTTCCCAATGCAATTAATCTTTTAATTTCCTGGCTGCTGGTACCAAGAGTGTTGACTGTAGAGCCAAGCAAACTGAAGCTGTTGACAATCCCAGTCTCTTCACCATCCATCATGATGCTGCCAATTGGCCCAGTGGTGAGAATCATTGTTTTCTTGATGTTGAGCTTCAATCCATATTGAAGGCAGCAGTCCTTCACCTTCTGCAGCAAGTGCTTCAGGTCCTCCTCAGTTTCAAGAAGCAGGGTTGTGTAGTCTGCATAACGCAGATTGTTGATGAGTTTACCTCCAATCCTGATGCTACACTTTTCCTCATAGAGCCCAGCCTCCCAGATAATCTGTTCTGCATATAGATTGAAAAGATATGGAGATAGGACATGTCCTTGGTCCACACCCTTCCCAATTTTGAACCATGCAGTTTCCTTACTCTATTCTAACAACTACCTCTTGGTCAAAGTATAGATTTTGCATCAGCATGATCAAGTGTTCTGGGATTCCCATTCATCTGAGTCAGCCACAGTTTGTTGTAAGCCACACAGTCAAATGCCTTTGTATAGTCAAGAAACACAGACAGACATTCTGGTACTCTCCGCTTTAGGCCAAGATCCCATCTAACATTAGCTATAATATCCCTAATACCACGGCCTCTTCTAAATCCAGCCTACACTTCAGGCAGTTCTCTGTTGCTGTGCTATTCTTCAATTTTTTCCTGAGTAAGGAAGTCACACATGTTCACGGAAAGAAACTTCAGATCCAGAAGCCACTCAGATTAGCCCGTTAGCCTCTAGTATATAGGCTGACGTGTAAGTGTATGTGCAGTTATGGGCTGACGAGTCTAACTCTCAGGTCCCACAGAGACAATGCTAGCCACAGAAGGCACATGAATGAGGACACATGTCTGGGTACAATCACAACTCTTTGAAATGTCTGGGTGCAGGCTCTCGACTGTCAAGTGTGTCACATACCTTGGTCAATGACCCAGAGCGTGAGGCTGTTGTTCGGGTCCTTAGGAGACTTCCGGGGCACCAATTTAATCAGGAGGGTCAGGGCATTGTCCCGACCTTGGTCTGAGACTCCCACCTCAGTCAGAAGCTCCAGGAGGTTACTGATGAGGACCTTAAGCTCCCGGGAAGGATCTGCCGGGAAGAAGACACAAGTGTGTTACATGGTGGTCCAGTCCTTATCTGATACTTAAAACTTCCTTAACAGGCCAGGGAGAACTGGCAAGGGGACGTTGCACCATGGGTGCGGGGTTGGGCTCCAGCCTTCACCCCTGACTTGCTAGTTGCTTAGAATCTAGTGTATAATACTGTCACCAAGACAGAATCCTGTACTTGCACCTGCAAGTCTGGTCTCAACAGAACTGGTCAGCATCGCCTGCTCCGAGATGACAAGGCTCACAGACTTGCTTCCACTCACCCACGATGATGGCGCCTTCTTTCCCTCGGAAACCTTTCTTAACGCCTTCCTTGAGGGCATCAAAGATAACGTGCAGCAGGTGGCAGGCCGCCAGGGACACAGCTTGGTTTTCCACGCCAAGAATGGATACCACGCGCCGAGTTCCCAGCACACTCAGAGTGGCTACTGTCTGGGGTACAAGAGAGGATACGACCACCTATTAGCAAGGGCAGCCACAGAGACAGTAACTGGGAGTCCAGGAGGGGGGCCTGCAGGTGAGCCAATGTCTGGGTGGAAATACCTGCTCCAGGTGGAAACAAAGTGCACCTGTCTCCACTACTACCTCTCCTCAAGGTGGCCTTTGGCAGAGAAGACAAGGGACATTGTGGCCCTGAGCGCAGCCATTCTAGCTAGTTGGTCCCCAGGGAGGAGACACAATGGAGAGTCAACTGACAGGCTCAAAGACACATGCTTCTCCACTATTTCCAAGCTGGGTCTATCCTAGTCCACACAGGGCCAAACAGGAACCCTGAAGGTGGGAGATTTACATGGGCTTTACCCTTTTTAGGCTGGGAGACCCAGAAATAGAATTTGAGCTTGGCTTGAAGAATTTATGAAGACTATTTCAAAGATTCACCCCTAATCTACACACTGTGGGCAAATCCCCGCCCCATTGGCCTTGCCCAGCTCAGGTAAGAGGTGAAGGTCTGGATTCAGTCACACCGGCCCCTGGGGCAGGGCTGCTGCTACTCAACAGTCTGTGCTCAGATGCCTCAGTCCACACTGGGAATCATATATGTCACTGCCTCACAAAGACATTGTGGGAGACATCACTGACCACTCCTCTTGCTGTGAGGACGCTGGCCAGGGGAAGAGCCAGTGTGACCCCCACAGCAGGAGCAAGTACCAACTTTTATAATACGGACTCGCCAAATCAACCGTAAGTGTCCTCTGGGAGCTGAGAGCAGACCACCCACTCAAAGTTAGTGACCTAGCGTTAGAGGCAATTCGCCCACTTGCGTCAAATCACCTTGGTCTTTTTCATGCCACTTCTCCACTTCTCTTATTAAACATCTCCTTGTACTCTCTTATCATGTGTTGAACTGCATTCTCAAAAAAGATAAAGTCCTGACCTCTGCTGACCTTTCTCAAATGTATAGGTTTTGAAGAAGTTATTAGTTAGAATGAAGTCACATGGGGGAGGATGGATGGGCTCTAAACTAGTGTGACTGGTGTTTTTAAAAATGGAAGAGACACAGAGATATAGAGGGAAGACAGCCAGCTGCAGACGGAGGCAGACACGGGAGCGATGCTTCCAGCACTAAAGAGAGAACCTCCCTCAGGTCTTCAGAGAAAGCCTGGCCCTGTTGACACCTTGATTTGGACCTCGAGCCTCCAAAACCGTGAAACCAGAAAATGCTATCTTTTTCGAGCATAGTGCTAGCAGCACAGTATTACAGCAGCCTAGGAAATGAATATACTGCTGTAAGTTCCTCGTGTAACAAGATGAGTGGACGGACGGACAGGCTGATGGAAGCAGTACCTCTCCCCGACCTACCCGGGACTGGTGCTCAGAGCAAATGCCGACCAGTGTGCGCAGAGCCGCCAGCATCAGGTCAGTCTCGCCTGTGTCCAGCAGTCGTTGCAAGAGCTGGACCCCATTGTTCCGGAAGATCTTCTCCGCCCCGGCGTCCTCCCGGGCCAGCACCACCAGATTCTGAGAAGCCTGGGTTGAAGGAAGTGCACGCTTACATAAGCATTCCACACACAGCACAGGTAGGACAACCAGGAGCCCAGTGCTCCGGACCAAAGAGCCTCCACCCTGAGGCTGAATTGCCTCGGGAACAAACTGTACCTCCCTGAACTTCAGCTTCCTGACAGGTAGGTAGAGGGGTTGAAGATTACAGTAATGGAGGTCTTGACCCCTCAGTCAAACCTGAAGAGCCAGGATGGTGCCTCGGTCACCTCTCTACCCCTAGCTCCTGACAGACAGTCTGGCTAGTAAGGTACTCACAACATCAGTTCCCTCTCTTTGGTTCACACTAAGGCCCCAGACCCTCAGCATTTCTACATCAGCTGACAGGAAAGGGGCTGAAGACAGGCAATTCCAGTGGCAGTCAGCCCCCTCTGCTTAGTCATTGCGTATACCTTTTGTTTTTTCTCAGTGCCTTTCTCTTCTGGATCCAACAATATCTGAAACATCTGTTCCACTTTGGCGTCTGTCGAGGACATGTATCGTACCTATGATAAACCAACAAGGCATGGAAGAAATTAGCCTTCTTGGATAGACACTATACATTCCTTGTGTTCTCGATGGCTCCTCCCAGGGCCCTGCTCCTGGCTATGAGGGCACAGTGAGATGTCTGGGCTCAGGAATGGCATGAAGGTGCTTTGGACAAGAAGAGACTCGCCTGGCGGCTCCTCCCATACTCCCTGTGGGCTGCTGTCCTCTCTGAGCCACTTCCCACTTGGGCAGCAGAGGGAGGGCTGGTGCCAAAGGCAGTGCCATTCAGAAGAGGCAACATCCAGTTAGTGATGAGGCCACCCGCTCCCTGTGGTGCTGTCTCTGTTGTGATAGGATGGGTCTAGCACATGTGGCACTCAACTTGGCAATGAAGCACGTAGGTCATGAGAGAGTTGCAAATACTGCCTCAGCTTCACAACTGCCCTTTGACAGTGTTTTAAATAATCCAGACAGGCAACGTTATCCCAGGCTAACTCCTTTCCCCAGAGGCCTGAGCACAAAAGACCTATGTCCAGTACGGTGTCACCCCCCTCCTCATTTGCACCCAGAGAAGATATGACTAATCATATATAGCAAATGTCCTACTAAACCCAAGAGACCTGTTTTCTGATCCTTCTTAAGAAAAAGCTCTGGGCAGCCATTACCAGTCAAACGGAAGTAGCTGAGAGGAAAACTGGGTCTCAATCTTTCTTTTTTATTATTTTTTAATTGATAGCTTAATCAAAGTTTACAGAAAGCTTGGATTTCTATTCATTCATTGTTGTACATTTTCCTCCCTACGACTCCAACCCAGTTAGCTTTTCTCTTTAAAAAGATTCTTTCATTGTTGCACAATTTCTTCCCTCCCCCTGCCCCCCAGTCCGTTTGGCTATGCACCTCTTATTTTGGACTGTTGTCATGCAAATAATATCTAATCATATATTTCTTTTAGACAGTTCTTTCCCTCATCTACTTAAATGCACTGTTTATTATTTATCCCCTCTTTTCTTAGTTTCCTCCCAACCCCCATGTCAGTCCTGTTTTATAACAGTGACATTATGTAGTATTTGTCCTTTTGCGACTGAGATATTTCATTCAGCATAATGTCCTCCAGGGTCACCCATTTTGTACAATATTTCATGAGTTCCTTATTTTTTAGTGCTGTGTAGTATTCCACTGTATGAATACAGCACAGATTCTCTATCCATTCATTTGTTGATGGGCACTTGAGTTGCTTCCATCTGTTTGCTATTGTGAACAACACAGCAATAAACATGGGTGTACATATATATCTGTCTGGGTGGCAGTTCTGGTTTCTTTAGGGTATATTCCCAGTAGTGGAACTGCTGGGTCAAAAGGTATTTCTATTTCCAACTTTTTGAGAAAGCACCATACAACCTTCCAGAGTGGTTGTTCCGGGTCTCAATCTTTCAATTAAGAGTTGACCCTCACTTGCCTTCATTGTACCAGCATTTTAAAACTACATTATCTGGCTAATTCAAACTTGGCAATGAACTTTAGAAGTCTTTATTTTAAATTAAAATTTTAATTACATGTATCTTAGAGTTTGGGTGGTTCGAATCTACCAGTTGCTCCCTGGGAGAAAGATGATGCAGTCTCCTTCAGTAATGATTTATAGCCTCGGAAACACAATGGACTGTCACCAGGAGTGGGAACTGACTTGACAGCAGTAGGTCTGGGTTTTAAACAAGTACTTTCTGATCATTAAAAGAAAAAAAGACCCCTGAAAATGAGAAGAAGTGAAATCTCCTCTGAAAAGCCAAAAGGGCCACACTGTTAACGTCTAAGATTCTTTTTTTAATTAAATTTTAATGAACATTTATAGAGGTTTTGGATTTCCATTCATTTATTGTTGTAAAGATTCTTTTAAAAAATTGCCTTCATATTTATGTATCAAAGCATATCCACAAAGTAAAAAGCACTTTTGTGTGTATGTGTGTGTGCATGTGGGAGACTATTTTAATATAAAAGTGTATCATTTGCCTTTTTTGCTTAGCAAATGTCATGTAACTTTCTGTGTCAATACACCTGTATCCACCTTTTCTTGCTAACACAGGTGTCTGGTAGGCCGTTCACCTATTGCTAGGCATTCAGGCACATTCCAATTTTTTGCTACTACAAACAAGGCTGGAATAAGCAGACATCTGCCTCCACATGCACACAGACAAAGTTGGCCTAAGGCAGACAGCAAGGACATGCTCATTTAAAATAATAACAGATGCCAGACAAAAAACTCAATGTCATGGAGTTGGGTCCAATGCATAATGACCATCCTCTGGGTTTCCAATGCTGTAATCTTTGTGGGAAGTGACTACTTATATTTCTCCAGAGGGACAGCTCGTGGATTCAAACTGCCGACCTTTCAGTTACAACCTAACACTGCCTACGTTGCCAGAGTTCCTTAGTACACACTGAACATCTTCTCGAGAGCTGTATCTCCTTCAGTGGTCACGTCCCTATAACTCACCAATTGTCTGCCTCTCTCCTTCCAGCAGCATGCATAGACTTTGAAGTGTTGGTCAAACAGATCACCAACAAAGTATGTTGTTGCTAATTTATTTGGCATTTTCCTAGTCACTGGCAAGATCGAGCCCTTTCTACATGCTTCTCTGCCAGCACTATCTCCTCTCCCTTGAGCTGCCTATTTACATCCTTGGCCCAGGTCCTTTGCCAGTGCCCTGTCTACCACCAGCGCAGAACTCCATTTCTTCCGGCCCCTCACATACCTTCTCCTGAATCTGGCCGCCAATGTTCCGCAGGGCATCCTGGAAAAGTTTGTTCTTGGGCTCCAGGCTCACACATCTCTTCAGGTCAAGGATGGCCTGGTCCAGGCGGCCCAGCTTCTCTAGGGCCTGGCTCCTCCGGTAAAGGGCTTTGACATCCCCACCGTCCTTTTCAATGGCTGAGCACAAACAGGAGCTCTGTCAGCACCCCCGAGGCCACCATCTCCAGGCAAGAACAGTAGCGACAGATCTTGCGGATCAGAGGAAGGAGAGGGGCCAGATGCAGGGCTTGGTACTTCAGCCTCAGAAAAGGTGAGAGTAGCTGTAGAAAAGGAAACGCCCCAGGAAATGGGAAAGAGAGAAGGCAGATGTGCTTCAGGGGCCAAAGGGAAAGAAGTATGGGACAGCTGAATGGCCCCAGAGTCCCTGCCCACCACAGAAACCCCCAAAGGTTCCCACATCGCCCTACCTTTGGACGCCTCACTTTCAGCTTTGTCATAATCTTCCTGAAAGAGAAAGAACGGGAACCTGAGTGGCTGGTCATCTTCCTTTCAGGGAGCAGAGGGACCCCAGGTCTCTAGAGTTACCTGATGCCCCATCACCCTCAGCCCCCACGACACTGACAAGGGTGAGAAGCTTAGGAGGTGAATGCCTAGCCAGAGACCAAGTAGCCGACAAGATGGGCAAACTCAGGGCCATGCAGGCAGGGAAAGGGTGTCCTCGCTCCCTCACCAACTTGAGGTGGCAGGCGGCCAGGTTCCGATGCAGAATGGCCTGGTCTTGGGGCGCTGCGTCCAGACTCAGGGCCTGAGTGTACGCAGCCAGGGCACCCACATAGTCTCCGCATTTGAACAGCTCATTGCCCTCCTTCCGTAGCTGCTCCACTGAACTGGCCTGTGGAGAGAAAGGGGACGCAGACAACAGAGAGTGGGCGCTGAACAGAGCTAGGGAACTGACAAGTGGAGGCTGGGGTTGCAATCAAGGCCCGGGAAGAAGGAGGTCGGGGAAAGATCAGGGCAGGTGAGAAGAGGGATGGCATCGGGGTATGAGTACGCACCCCACGGGCGGTGGGCCGGGGCTCGGGGGTCCCTGGACCACTCACAGTCATTGCGCAGGAGGTATACAGGGCCCGCGCAGGCGCTCTCTGGGGCAGGGTGTGTCTAGGCTCTGGAATCTATGGAAGCTGGCCCCACCCCAGCTTTGCATCAGATAAACGTCAGACGGAGAGGGGCCTCGCGCCTGCGCCCGGAGAAAGGGGCGTGGCTCGCCGGGAGCCCGGGCGCTGGGCGTTCCGGGCGCACTCAGTCTATTCCTGCAGGGATCTGCAGGGGGCGCGCGGCGGAGGACCGAGCGCGGGGTCTCTGGCCACCGGGACTCCGACCACGGCAGAAGTGCACAAGGTCGACGGTGATCAGAGCCACGAGCAACAGGCTGTAGAGGCCCAGCGCTATGAGCGGACCAGTGCCCCTGTGGAAAACAGGAGTGTCAGAAGCCTGTAGATTTGATGCTACGGCTTGTGGGTTACGCACCTTCTAAAAGTTTGGGATCCTCTCCCAGGATGAATGTAGTAGACATGCATACCCACATATATTTGCATGCACATTCAGAGGCTCACCGGCACCCTAAGCATACTTATGGGCAGATTTCAGGACTTAAATATAAAATATGTATTTAGAGAAAAACCTCATTACCTAGTAAACATAAAGTAAATGTAGAAAGCACAATGTATATTAATGAAACAAAATATATACCGACTTTGTATGCAAACTAAAAAAAAAGAAAATTAAAAAACTGTAATCCGGCGAGCTCTGGTAGCCTAGTGGCAAGAAGCTGCACTGCAATCCCAGAGGGGAGCGGTCTGAATCCACCAGATGCTCAATCCCCTCCAGTCAGATCCGATTTGACCGATTTGACCGTATACATACACAAAAAATAATACCACCCCCCCAAAAAAAAACCAACCAACCCTGTAATCCACAGGCTACAAGATCCTCTCAGACATGAACCTTCACCCAGCCTACACCGTGACTTCCAGGGACCCACATTTCCAGCCTCTGAACGTTTCTTACTACAATTGTTTGTAACATGTTTTCACGTGACTTTCTGTTTAATGTTTGCTCCTCCAATAATCTCTAAACCACACGCCTTCATTTTGATATTCAAGAGCAGAAGAAGCCCAGATCGTGAAACTCGCTGTCTGCCCCAGTGGCTCTGAGGTTGGAGTTCTCACCTGAGAATGGGCGGGGGTGGAAGGGAGGACACGTTGACCTGGTAGAGAGCCTCGAATTCCGCCCGGGTGCAGCAGGAGCTACCTGTGTCCTGCAGGTGGCAGCAGTAGGCCTCCTCGGGAGTATCTGAGAGCCGAGGGCAGAAGAAGCCTGGGGAGCGGCGGCCATCGGCATCCCGGATGGTCTGGCACAAATGGGGGTGGTGGGCCAGAGCTGAAAGCAGGAGCAAAGAGGTTGGAAATAGGCTGGACTCATCTGCCCACTTCCGATCCCACCCCTTCTAGAAACTAAAAGGAATCAGCCGTTTTGAGAGGCTCAGTTTCCCCCTTCCCCAATTCAGTACTTCCAATGTGAAAATAGCCCCATGCCAGCTGCTGAGAGTAGAGGATATTGACGGTGGAGTGTGTGGATGGTGAGGCGGGAAGTGCTGTACCTGAGAGAGAGGGCTGCTGGGCGACGGTCACCCAGCTGAAGAACAATGGGAGCCCCACCGACAGGCCTGTCAGCAGGGGGCCCAGCTTTCTCTGGAAGCCCATGGGCCAGTCACCTCCACCTGAGCCTTGGTCCTAGACACCTGAGCATCTGTCTTTCTAAGCCATGACTGCAGAAAGTAAGAAAGTAACAATTAAAACCCACGGTTCGCAGTCACCATTAATACAAACCTAATGCTTCTCTGTCACAGGTCTCTAAAGTTTCTCTATCACTGGAAAATGAGTGTGAGGACTGTGGCTCCACGCTTCCCTTTCTGAGCTGAAAGAGGAAAGGCTGGATAGAGGACAGAATGAGGGATGAGAGAAAAATTAAGCCATTAACCAGAAAAACAAATGTGCATTTAGAGTTGTTCCTTGCTACCCGCTCTCCAATTACGGAATACTGGGATTCTGTCCTGGGAATTCTGACCATTTCATTGCAAGCCCCGCAGTAACCTCCACAATGTGGTAACCACCAAAACTAGCTGAAAACCAAGGACAAGTCCTTTCAGTAACTTTCCCCTCTTGAACTTACCTCCAAAACACTCCCCCCCTTCATTGTCATTGAAGAGGAACCAACTCATAGCTGACCCTCCAGTCGGCTTTCTGAGGCTGTAAATCATGCAGGAGGAGATTGCCCATCTTTCTCTCATGGAGCTTTTCGTTGGATTTAAATTGCCAGAGAGGCTCAGACTTTGAGTTAGTTGCAGGACTCCCTGCCCTAGCTAGAGCAAAAGCTCAAGAGTGTCCTGTCTGTTTGGTATACACTTAATTAGCAGCTAGCCAAACCATTTCCTGATAACAGAGCTTGTGTGTATGTGTTGGGAGTGCTTCTCCAAGCCCCTCTTACCCCTCATTTTGCATCGCTGCCATCCACTGACAGAGGATTTCTTCGGAAAGCCCGAGGCCATCAGCCAGCAACCTTAAGTGTTGTTTCACTGTCTACTTCAGCCTGACAACATCAGGCTCCCAGAACAGCAGAGACAACATTCATCACCCCAGGGGCCCCACAGCAGGTGCCTGGGGACTAACACAGGAGTCCTTGTGGCCCAAGTAAGCAATGTCAATTTGGCTCCTGCCACTGAGAGCCAAGAAGACAGTTCCTGCAGAAACAGCACTGCCAAGTGAGAGCCTGAAACTGAAGCAATTAAGTAGGGATCCCCATGCAGGCTTCAATTTCTCTGGGGGCTCATGGACCGACCCAAACATGAGGCTCTGTGCCCATAGCAACCAGCCCCAGGTCGGCACAGAGAATCAGACAAAACATAGTTGAAAATTTCCTGAGCTCTAACTTTTCATGGGATTATCTTTCCATGTGGGGAGAGGCCCTCCCAAAGAAGCTTTCTCTGACCTGAAGCTAGGTGAAATGTCCTTCTTCCAGGGACCAGAGGCCCCTATGACATCCTGCTCTGGACTCAACACAAGGTGAGGCCACTTTGTTTTCTTGTCTACAGGTGGATTGTGGCTTTCAGGGAGCCCGGCTATGTGCATCTTGTACCGTCAGTACACAACAAAATGCACTGAACTAAGGCCTGTGAGGCAGCTGGTAACTCCCCACACCAGCTGCTTTCTGTGACTTTGAGATCAGACCCGTAGAGGTGGGCTTGAGGCAAGAAGCTAGCTGGAGTTGTTCTTGCTGTTGCTAGGTGCCAATAAGTCAACTAGGGCTTATAGTAACCCTATGAGCAACAGATTGAAATCTTATCCTATCCTGGACCGCCCTTATCATTTCAAACACGCTCAATCCCACTGTTGTAGCCCCCGTGTCAATCCATCTCATTGAGGGTCTTCCTCTCATTTGCTGACCTTCTGCTTTCCCAAACATGATGTCTTTTTACAAGACACCTCCTGACAACATGCCCAAAGTATGTGAGTTGAAGTATCACCACCCTTGCTTTAAGGTATACTCTGTTTGCACTTCTGTCAAGACAGATTTGTTTCACCTCACACACAAAAAAAAAAAGGCAAACAACTCAATTGCAAAATGGCACAAGATATGAATAGACACTTCACCAAAGAAGACATTCATATGGCAAAGAAACATATGAAGAAATGTTCAAAATCCCTAACTCAGAGAGATGCAAATCAAAAGATATAAGATATCATCTCACCTCAGCAACAATAACAAACCTCAGTGAGGCAGCAAACAATAAATACTAGTAAGTTTGTGAAGAGATTAGAACTTTCATTCAGTGCTAGAGGGAATGTAAAATGGTACAACCATTATGGAAAGCGGTCTGACACTTTCTCAAAACGTTGAAAATAGAAATACCATTTGACCTAGCAATTCCACTGCTGGGAATACATCCTAAAGAAACCAGAGCCACAATGCAAACAGATGTATACACACCCATTTTTATTGCTGTGTTAGTCACTATAGCAAAGAGATGGAAGCAACTCAAGTACCAATGGAAACTATGGTACATTCACACAATGGAATATTATGCAGCATTGAAAAACAATGAACTTGTAAAACATTACACAACATAGGTGAGCCTGGAGGACATTATGCTACGTGAAATTTATCAGTCACAAAAGGACAAATAATATATAATACTGCTGTTATAAAATAAGACTGACCTGGGGAGTTGGGAGGAGAATAAAGAAAAATGGATAAAGAACACTGCACTGGAACAGATGAGGGGAAGAATGGTCTGAAAGGAATATATGATTAGGCATTAAATATATGACAACAATCTAGAACAAGAAAAGTACTGCAAAGTGGACCGGGGGAGGCAGGAGGAGATGGGAAGAAAATGTGCAACAATGAATGAAGATAGATTTGCTTGGTTTATTTTATTAATTTTAATGAACATTTACAGAGATATTGGATTTTCACTCATTCATTGTTGCACTTTTCTCCCTGCCCAGCCCTCTCCACCAGTTCGCCCTTCTCTTTGAAAAGTAAAAGAAAAATTCCTTCATTGGTATACAATCCCCCCACCCTGAGTACACTCCACTATGCAACCTTCATTCTGGACTCTTGTGATAACCATAATACCTTATCATATATCACTTTTAAATTGTTCTCTCCCTCATCTGTTTCAATGCAGTATACATAATTTATCTGTGGGGTTTTTTTTCAGTCTTACCCCAACCCTGATGTCAGTCACATTCTACAACAGTGGCACTATGCAGCATTTGCCTTTTTGTGACTGAGATATTTCACTCAGATTTGCTTGGTTTTTTGATACATCTCATTGCCTTGAGTCAGACGTCAGACCCAGCTCACAGCTGACCTCCTAACGGATTTTTCAGAGGCTGTAAGTCACACAGGATATTTTTTTCTTCTTTCTCCCTTGGAGTCCCTCGTGAATTAGGACTGCTTACCTTTGGGTTGGCAGCACAACTCCTTATTCTAGGCCACCTCGGTATGTATATTCAATATTCTTCACTAACATTACCAATTCAAGTGATTCGGTTTTGCTTCTTCATTGTCCAGCTTACATTCATTTGAA